ATAATTAGTTTCGTCGTTGGATGATCTGGATGGTGGTCTTCGTTTGTTATCAAGTGATGAAATGCGTGACTTTTCTAAACGATTTCATTGTCAGTCGAAAACCAGCAAATCGAAAAAGACTTCGATCGAAAATTTGAAAAGTTTAACAAATCAATATAAATCCGTGTTTGGCTCGAGCACGACAACGAATCGCGATCATCTATTACTCAAAGAGTACGAAATTTCATACAAACTAATACGAATCGATTATACTCATCAATTGATTTAGATTGAAACGAATCCTCAACAATTGTTACAAGATCTCGGAAGATATTCGTGGGTTATTCTTTCGAATGATGTTAACTTATCATCCTGTTGCACTGTTAGCAATGGACGATTTAGATCAAAATGGTTTTACTCTCCTGTAAGATGCAATGCACTCAATTGACGTGTTTTCAAAGACTTGTTTAGGTATAAAACATTACAAATCATTCGTGGACAGATTCGACTGCCCTGGAATGAAGAACAGATTAGTCATGAGCATCTACCATTCAAAACACCTGAACAACTTCAAGTGTAAGATGTCAATATGATTGTATGGAGCGAAAGATAGTGTTCTTTTACTTTATATCGTAGATATCAAGCAGCAATTGATCTCGAAATGGAATACAATCAACTAGAACAAGCGAAAAAAACGGATAACTTAGTGGAATTTTACGAAAAGTACAATGAACAATGGCGTGCGATGATCGATTCATCACCAGTCGAGTATTTGCTTATGAGTTTATGGAAAGCAGAACGCGTGAAGTTGATCATTTTAGTGAACAATTACCTGGTTATTTTCGTCGTTTTTCTCCAGATTATGTTCGTGCTCGGATTTTATCATCTCTAACCGAAGTTTTACAACGAGCCCGACGATATGAGCAGGCAATCGAACTGATTCAATATCTTCTAAGTCAATTTAGTTATATATGAAAGCAAAGTCAATAGTTTCATTTAATTTTAGATCGAACAATGTATAATCGGCATCGCCGAGGTAAATTATGGAATCGTCTAGCATTAATACAAGAAAATTATATTAAAATCCATGGTCATCAGCAATGTTTAGACACTATATATGAGGCACTGAAGGATCCATATGTGAAACTAGGTGATCGATTAGCATTATGTGAACGTGCAAGAAAATTGATGGCGCGACCGAAGTCAAAAGAAACATTAGTCGCAACATGGATGGCCGATGAGGAAGAAAAACTCATGTGGAACATACCGATGCCGAAAGAAGTGAGATTTTTCTTTGGAAAAAGTCGGTTTTTCCTATCTCAATTGATTAGGTTGATGTTACTGGTCGTTTACTTGCAAACGACGCTCGAATGGGTAAAGTGACGTACACCATTCAAGATCCTGTCGATGGATCGATTCAATTTTGTACTGTCGAACAATTAGCCATTCACCACTATCGCATACAAGAAGATTATACTTTCGGTAAAAGACCGAGTCCACTTGTACTTGAATGTATGTTAGATCTTGATGTTAAAGGTATTCATTCGGAAGGAGCAGTTATTCGAACAGTAGTTGGCCTTTTATTTCTTGATCTGATTTATACTCTGCCGACACCAGATTTATTGATTGATATATTTCAAACTGAACCGTTGGATTTTCAAACCGATAGTTTTTATAAATCCCGTCAAATGGAAATTGATCAACGAATTAGTTATTTGAATTGCGAAGAAGTAAGAACGAGGACATACTCGGCATGACGAACAGTTTACTTTCTAGAATATCCAAGAAATTGCCGAGAAAAACTGGGATATGTACAATTTGACAATGAGTACCGTCGTTAACTGGGAATTATTCCAAACGAAACTCACATTATTAGTATGAACGTCTTTCGACTTGTGTTTTGAATTGAATGTTATGTTGTAGGATGCTCTGAAATGTTTAACTCCCGAACAAATTCAATCGATCTCGACTTATACATTTGTACACAATCGGGCAGTCTGGAAAGGTTTTCCAGATTTATTTGTATGGAATCCGATTACGAAAAAATGCAAAGTAATGTAGTATTCGTTATCTTCGAATTTAACGTCCTTTTGATTAGTTTGTCGAAGTCAAAAGTCATAATGACCGTCTTTCATTTCATCAGATCGTTTGGCTCGATAAATTAGTTGAATTTCAAATCGATTGTGAAGTATGTAAAGTCGGTGGTAAGTCTTTCCACTCTTCTGCGTCATCCTCTCATCTCGAATTCCGTCATTGTAGCAATCGGTGCGAAGAAACTACTGCAAAGGACGCCATCTGCAATTGAACTAGATTAAATTGTCATATGTATTTTATTATTGTTGTTAAATAAATCAATTTTCATGCTCAGATAATATTAATTACAGAAAACAGTGAAGTTTTTTTTAAATATATTGTTGTAGAAAAGAAAATGTTTGCTAATGATGATGAAGATGAAGAATGGAATCAGGAAGATGAAAATGAGGAAGATCAACCACAAGGTTATGAAGCTTTATTAGATCCGGATGATGAAGGGTGAGAGCGAGAGAACGAACTTTAATCTTTGATATAACAGAATTTTTAAATCTTTTTAGAAGTTTTGCAATAGAAGACGACGAACCGGAGGAGGACGACCAGGAAGAACTTGAACAAGCAGAATCGATTGAACAGGAGACACCTGTCGACGATGGTCAAATTAAACCATTTATGTGTAAACTATGCTCAACATCCTTTAGTAAATTCGAAGGATATCGAGAACATTTCGTCTCTACAGAACATCGATACAAACGTCGTGATGAAAAAAAACGCTTAGGAGTATGTCTTTACTTTTCACCAAATTCAATTAACCTGTTCTCGGGAAATCTGTAGGAAGGCGGTGTTATTGAAACACCACCTGTTGAAGTATTTGTCAATTTGCTACTATACAACAAAGTAAGGCATACAATGTAAGGAAAAAGAGATGATTTTAGAATTATTTGTAGACTCCGTTTGAAAGTGTTCAAATAGTTGTTCAACTTGTCGATTTCAGTATGAGTGGTACATTGGAATATAATCAGAATAAATATGAATATCAACATGCCGTGTCATATGATGAACTCTATCAAAATCTCGTGAATCAGTTCAATCAGGACTACGAAAAATATCGATTCAAAATGCCACCCCAGAGTTTCTTCGTTGCTCGAGGTGTGAAATTACTGATCAGCATATAATATATACTGGATTTCTATCTTTGAAGATATCTGCCGCAAAGAAGTCGATCATGTTTGGACTGTTCCACGATATTGTGACGACACGGGAAAATCTGACGAGCAAATTGTCAAAGTAATTCTCTCTCAATCCATTGATTTAAAACAACATCATACTTTCTCTTAGGAAGTATTAGACTTCTGTGTTTATACAAACGTTGAACCGGAACGTGAACGTTTGATTGGACATTCTATTCAAACGTGGCGTATGTTTCATCGTCAAGAAAGCAAACCGGGATTTTGGTTTGTGTTGAAATCGAAAGTTTGCTCTACCTGTAAATTATACATTTTTAAGGTGTGACATATGTAAGCAATGTTTTCGAAAACGGAAAGCAATCCTATGTGTAAGTTGAATTTTGTATACGACACTTTCGTTGAAGATGATTTGATTTCCATGTAGCATTTTGAATCAAGTGAAAAGCACGAGAAGAATCTCAAGCATCTTCCGCCATATCGGCGAGCCGTGCAGCATGTGAGTGTTCTTCTAAAGATATATCGATAGATGATAGAATGTCTTTAGAGTTTGTTTACTGGCCGTTTGTTGAATGAATTCATTGAATTAGAGAAAGTGAATTATTACCGAAATCGTGTGAATGCTTACCGAATTCCGCCGTCGATTAAAAGTCTGAAAAATGCGTACTACTGCACATTTTGTAAAAAATCATTTGAATCAACGCATTCACTTGAGAAAGTAAGACATCAATCGATAGAAATCATTTCATTATCCTCCATTTCATTTATCATAGCATCTTGGTTGGAAAAATCATCGAGATATACTGCGAAAACGTCGACAAAATGATCAAGACAATATCCCCCGTCTTGCAGTAATCATTCAAATTCAACTTTGCCTAGTATTTATTTGGTTTTTCTTAGACGTATTTGAATTTCAATCAATTGTCTCACGAACAACGCAATGGTGGTATTCAACAAATGCCTAAAATACCTGAAGAATATCGAATGAAGTATAATCTTGAGCCGATCACAGTGGAAAATATGCAAGAAGACATCAAACGTTTCGATACTCAACTTGCTCAACAAGTCATGCAGAACATTTACAATCAGCAAGGAAATAATAATAATAATAATAATCAATTTAATCGTGGCGGTGGGCGAGGACGTGGCCGAGGAAGACAAACATTTCGTGGTCAAGGCTATCGACCACGCGGTAATTTTCACCAACAAAATCCGTCGCAATTCAATCAAGGTAACTTGTAATGTGCGAAATCCGTAGAATATAGCTTTTGAGCATTTAGGAGAATTTAATCGTGCAGTAAACTACCAACCGCGATCGTTTAATAATAATCAACAGTTCTATCCACAGAATAATTTCTATCTACCAAATACATTTCGGCCACGTATGTTCAGTTTCGCCTTTTAGAGTTGTTAATTTGTGTTCTCGAACATCTCTAGAAAATCAACAATTCGTCAATGGCAATAATAAACGTACTTATCAACAGAATAACAATTATTATAATCCAAGACAATCGTGGCAAAACAAACGGCCGCGATTTGATCGCCCGCCAACATATCAACCACCACCATCATCATCATCCAATCGCATCGATTACCGCTACGTTGCCAACCAAAATACTTATCAACATCAACAGCAATTCCAATAATATTGTTTGTTATTTGCTAATTCATTGTTATTAGTACCGATTATTGTTAAGGAAATAAATCATGTTGAAATTTATTAGTCAGATTGAAAAAAAAGAAAAAGAAACAAACGAGTAGTTTTCTTCTGAACATAATCTATTACAGTGCTGTCAACTCTATAGTTCACATGGCGTCCGTTGTAGTAACAGCAGACGTTACTCTTGGTGCTAGTTGAGTGTTTTCAGATACAGTTGTTGAATTTGCTTCAGTCTTCGCCGAACTATACGGCCCATACATAAAAGCAAGAATACTGCATCTTTTCACAACAAAACGAGCAAATATAACTTACGCTTCCAATTCATTTCTACATTCGATACCTGCTAGGATTTCCTTATCTTCATCTGCAAATCGTTCCGAATCTTTGATCATACGATCGATTTCTTCTGGTGATAATAGATTGGTATTTGAACCGAATGTAATACTATTCTTGTTTCCTGTGCCTTTATCTTCTGCAGTTACTTTCAAGATACCGTTGATGTCGATTTCGAAGGTGACTTCAATTTGTGGAACACCTCGGGGTGCTGGTGGAATACCGGTTAAATCGAATTTGCCCAACACATGATTGTCCTTGGTCATGGGTCGTTCGCCTTCAAAGACTTGAATGGTGACTGTTGGTTGATTGTCAGCGGCCGTGGAGAAGACTTGACTCTTCTTTAATGGAATGAGTAAGTTACGCGGAATGATCTTCGTCATCGCACCACCAACTGTTTCAATACCCATGCTTAACAAAGCCAAATCCATACAACACAGAATATCAGACCCATCGTCTCTCGAAAGAAGATCAGCTTGAACAGCAGCACCGTAAACTACAAAAAAGGTTACATAGAATTCACTGATTATCGCAAACTAGTCACCTGAACCTACCAACAGCTTCATCGGGGTTGATACCACGGGATGGTTCTTTGCCATCGAAGAATTCTTTAACTAGTTCCTGAACTTTCGGAATATACGCTGATCCGCCAATGACAAGAACTTCGTCGACCATCGATTTATTAAAACTATTATCCTTTAACGTTTGTTCCATAATCTTCAATGTTTGTTCAAACAAATCCTCGTTTAATTGTTCAAATTCAATCCGTGTTAATGTTTCGCTAAAATCTTCATTGTCAAAGAATGATTCGATTTCGATCTTTGTTTGATGTTGAGATGACAACGTTCGCTTCGCTTTTTCTACTTCTCGTCGGAGTTTTTGTACTGCACGGACATCTTTGCGAACATCCTTGCCAGTTTTCTTCTTGAATAGCTTGATGAAGTGTTCCATCACTCGTTGATCGAAATCTTCACCACCCAAGTGAGTGTCGTCATTGGTGGCAACCACTTCAAACACACCATTGTCAACGGTCACCAATGACACATCGAATGTGCCACCACCCAAATCGAAGACAAGAATATTCTTTTCACCTTCTTTCTTGTCTAATCCATAAGCAATAGCAGCAGCTGTTGGTTCGTTGATGATACGCATGACATTCAAGCCCGAGATGGTACCAGCATCTTTCGTGGCTTGACGTTGAGCATCATTGAAGTAAGCAGGAACGGTGACAACAGCGTGAGTGACTTTCTTTCCAAGGTACGCTTCCTACAACGAGCGAATGAACGAACGAACGAACGAATGATGCATGAGTAGCAGAGATGCGAAATGACTTACAGCGATCTCACGCATCTTGCCGAGAACCATGGCTGAGATTTCTTCGGGTGTGAAAAGCTTTTGTTCCTTGCCAGTACTGATTTGGATGATTGGCTTTGAGTTCTTTTCGATGACTTTGAATGGAAAGTGTTTGATGTCTTGTTGAACATTTGGTTCATTGAAGTCACGACCGATGAGACGTTTGGCATCGAAAACAGTGTCTAGAAGGAGAGAAATCGAAATAGACGAGAGGAGAAGTAGAGATAGATGAAGAACTTACTTTCAGGATTCGAAGTGAGCTGATTTTTGGCAGCATCCCCAATGAGTCGTTCACCTTCGGGAGTGAATGCAACATAGGATGGTGTGATACGGTTACCTTGATCATTGGCAATAATTTCTACTCGTCCGTTTTTGAAAATACCAACGCGTGAGTTGCTTGTGCCCAAGTCGATGCCTACAATGGTGTAGTCGCCTAAAAAATGTGTTTTTAAAGACGGTTCATTGGGTTAGTATAGAGAGCGCACTTTTTGAATAGCTTGATTGGATAAAGGCAATGCCATAGAAAAGGATGAGCGAAAGGCAAAGTATGCAGTGTTTCATTGCCGATGTGTGTTCAAGTGTAAGAAAGAAGAAAAATGGTTCTCGTAGTTCGCTCACTGCAGCTGCATATTATATACAACATGGAAAAGGAAAATGAGGCAATGTAATTGACATGATTTCAAATGCGATGATGTATATATACGTTGCCTCCTTCCATTGGTTGGAATTGATCCAAGATATATTTGAATATATTACTACTTTTAACAGAGTCAACACTGGTTTCGAGCAGTCTTCATTAGCGGCAGACGAATGTTGAAGGCGAGGGTGACGGCGTGAGTGTCATCTTGTTATTAATATCCACATTCCTATCGCTTAGAATTAGAAATAATCAAGATGCATATTTCAGACACATTCGATTCAACTTCTAGAATCGATCCGAATGGGAAGCGGATGTGGTACATCCTCTATGAGAATGGTCAAGTAAAAAGGATGGACAAATCAGAAGCGTTGCGCAAATACACCCTCGCCCTCAAGATTTCGGCATAAGTCAATGCGTGAATTGGTTGTACCAAGGCCAATACCGACCGCAACATTTCATGTCTACCAATGAAAATCTATTCAGCAATGTTTCATTGAGTAACGTGATGTTAACGAAAAGTAGTACTACGCATCGAGGTAGAAGTATGATATGAATTATTTTAAGAGTTTTATTGTAGTGTCGCTGTAGATATATTTAAACAAAAAAAGTCGCACGGTTCGTATACTAATAACAATATAAATAAAACAAACTAGACGGTGAACTAAACAAGCAGATAAACAAAAAGCGCGTTGGTACTCAATTATTTTGCTTCATGACAGAATGAGACACAAAAAGAGAAAACATTGGAATGGACATAACAAGCATAAATAAATATAGACAAATCTGACCACCTCCTATCGTTTCATTAGCCTAATCTTGCTTGTTACAAGCTATCGTCATCATGGCCATGTGGAGGAGGTGGAGGAACATCTCCAGCACCACCTGCACCGCCACCTTGTCCGTACAGTTTGGTCATGATTGGTGTGACAATTTCTTCAAGTTGTTTCTTGTGTTCTTTCAATTCATCTACTTCAGCAGCTGGATTTGATTCAAGCCACTTGATTTGTTCTTCTACGGCATTTTCAATTGTTGATTTGTCATCGCTTGAAAGTTTGCCACCAAGTTTCTCTTTGTCGCCCAATTGAGTTTTCAATGAATAAGCATATCTTTAAAAGAAAACCAGTTTACTATCACAAATAACCAAGGAGAAAGAGAAACTTACGATTCAAGTTCGTTCTTAGCATCAACGCGTTCTTTCACTTTCTTGTCTTCATCTGCAAATCGTTCCGAATCTTTGATCATACGATCGATTTCTTCTGGCGATAATCGATTGTTGTTTGCGTTGATGACAATGTTGTTCTTGTTTCCTGTGCCTTTATCTTCTGCAGTTACTTTCAAGATACCGTTGACGTCGATTTCGAAGGTGACTTCAATTTGTGGAACACCTCGAGGTGCTGGTGGAATACCGGTTAAATCGAATTTGCCCAACACATGGTTGTCCTTGGTCATGGGTCGTTCACCTTCAAAAACTTGAATGGTGACTGTTGGTTGATTGTCAGCAGCAGTGGAGAAGACTTGACTCTTCTTTGTTGGAATGACTGTGTTACGTGGAATGATCTTTGTCATAACACCACCAACTGTTTCAATACCCATAGTTAATGGATTGACATCGAGTAAAACAATGTCACCAGTGTCCTGTTCGCCGGAGAGAACACCCGCTTGAACAGCAGCACCATAAGCTAAAAGCAGAAACCAATGAAATAAATCGATGAACATAAGTTCATGGAAAACTCAGATGACTTACCAACAGCTTCATCGGGGTTGATACCACGGGATGGTTCTTTGCCATCGAAGAATTCTTTAACTAACTGTTGAACTTTTGGAATACGTGTTGAACCACCAACGAGAACAACTTCAGCAATATCGCTCTTCTTCAAATCGGCGTCTTCCATTACTTTTTGAACAGGTTTCATTGTCGATCGGAACAAATCCATGTTGAGTTCTTCGAACTTGGCTCGTGTTAATGTTTCGCTAAAATCTTCATTGTCAAAGAATGATTCGATTTCGATCTTTGTTTGATGTTGAGATGACAATGTTCGCTTCGCTTTTTCTACTTCTCGTCGGAGTTTTTGTACTGCACGGACATCTTTGCGAACATCCTTGCCAGTTTTCTTCTTGAATAGCTTGATGAAGTGTTCCATCACCCGTTGATCGAAATCTTCACCACCCAAGTGAGTGTCGCCATTGGTGGCAACGACTTCAAACACACCATTGTCAATGGTCAACAATGACACATCGAATGTGCCACCACCCAAATCGAAGACAAGAATATTCTTTTCACCTTCTTTCTTGTCTAATCCATAAGCAATAGCAGCAGCCGTTGGTTCGTTGATGATACGCATGACATTCAAGCCCGAGATGGTACCAGCATCTTTCGTGGCTTGACGTTGAGCATCATTGAAGTAAGCAGGAACGGTGACAACAGCGTGAGTGACTTTCTTTCCAAGGTACGCTTCCTACAACGAACCAACGAATGATGAATGAGTAGTAGAGACGCGAAGTGACTTACAGCGATCTCACGCATCTTGCCGAGAACCATAGCTGAGATTTCTTCGGGTGTGAAAAGCTTTTGTTCCTTGCCAGTACTGATTTGGATGATTGGTTTTGAGTTCTTTTCGATGACTTTGAATGGAAAGTGTTTGATGTCTTGTTGAACACTTGGTTCATTGAAATCACGGCCGATGAGACGTTTAGCATCGAAAACAGTGTCTAGAAGGCGAGAGATGGAAGTAGACGAAAGGAGAAGCAGAGACAGATGGAAAACTTACTTTCAGGATTCGAAGTGAGCTGATTTTTGGCAGCATCCCCAATGAGACGTTCACCTTCAGGAGTGAATGCAACATAGGATGGTGTGATACGGTTACCTTGATCATTGGCAATAATTTCTACTCGTCCGTTTTTGAAAATACCAACGCATGAGTAGGTTGTACCGAGATCGATACCAATGACAGTACCAACGTCTATTAGGCAAAAGAAATTGATAGATTAGCTTTTACAGAATGAAATTTTGGTTTACCTTTTTTGTCTTCTTCAGCGGCGAATGAAAATGTAAAAGCAGCAGTGGCGATGAGTAGAAGAATAGTGATTATCTTCATGTTTGCTAGTCGTCTTATTTCTCTAATGAATGATAGAGTTGTAGAAGGAGAGTCGTATTTATTTGAAATGAAGATTGTTCTAGTAGTACATACGTGTTTTTACTCTGTGATGATGAGTGGATATGCTGTCTGCATTTGATTGGTCCAGCGAGAAACTTTTCGGTGACGTCGATTCTGCGTGTAAGCAATGAAAAGAATACCAAAAGAAAACGAAAGTAAATATGAAAAAAATGAAGAAAAATATGATTCCGTTTGCTTCCTTGAGAAAGAAAATATTTTTCGTTGTCAAAACTAAAAAAGACAGTATGGATAGCATAATAAACGAGCGACATCTTTACGAATTATCATGAAAATGCTCGAAAATTCGATGAAATTGACTAGGAGCAGATGGAAATTAGCTAAAGCAGATAATTACTTGAACGGATTCAGCATGATCAAAGTATCTAATTATAATTGTTCGATTGAATGCACTAATCAAAAACGTTGAAACATTGATCATTTTTTGCTTGATAGTAATACACGAAATTTTCACATTAAACCGCTTCCAAAGATCATCAAAGCAGATTATGATGCTTTGACTAGTATCTTCGCGTTCGAAAATAGTATCAGCTTTGAATATGTTCATGAAAATTCGATTTGCAGCTTTGAGAAAACGAAAACGAAGAAAAAACAGCCGACAGAATTCGAATGAATCCCATACTTCTTTCTAGATTATTCATCATGTCTCGAGTAATTGTTAAAAACCTACCAAAACAAGTATGTTTTATCTGATTTAGACACATATATCTCTGAGAAGAATACGTTTGTATCTAGGTAAAAGAAGATCAAGTTCGCAAACATTTCGAAGCATTTGGACCTATAACAGATCTTCAACTAAAATATACCAAAGATGGTATATTCCGTCGCTTTGCCTTTGTTGGTTATCTGAATGACGAACAAGCGCAACGAGCGATCGACAAATTGAGTAAAACATACATTGGAACATCGAAGATCGTCGTCGAGCAATGTTTCGATTTAAACGATAGCAATCGACCTCGGCCATGGAGTAAATATTCTCAACAAACAAATGAACTCGAAAAGAAGCCTGCCGACGAGAAGAAAGTCAAAACTAAAAAAGAAGGAAATAGTCAGCTAGTTGATGCCATCCTCGGCGATCTTAAATATGACGACAAATTCAAGGAGTTCGTCAAAAATGTGGATTCAATGAAGAAAAGTGAACAAATTATTTGGAATGATTCAATGAAAAACACAGAAGACGAACCGAAACAATCATTGAAATCGAGAAAAAAACAAGAAACTCGTGCACCGTCGCCTATAAAAGAAAACAAACCACTCGGTCCTCGTTATTTCATCAAAATTCTCGGACTACCCTATTCCTCAAAAGAACGCGACATTCGCCAATTTTTCGCTCCCCTATCCATCATCCACTGTCGTATGATTCACAATCGTAAGACAAACGCCCTTTCAGGAGTTTGTTGGATCGAGTTTGAAAACGAACATGATATGAATAAAGCGATGCTCAAGCAAAAATCCGTTTTGACCATTGAAAAGACCGGTGAACATCGTTATTTAGAATTAGCACCGTATATCAAGAACAAACAATTACTAAACAAATCAGCATCAACTGCGATGAAACCATTGAAAACATACGAACCTATTCCAGAATCCATCGGTGAAACAGGAGAATTGTTTGTGAGAAATCTTTCCTACCGAACGGCAGAGCAAGATTTAGAAACACTTTTCAGTCCATTTGGACAAATTACATCTATTAACATGCCAATCGATAGTCTCACAAAACAACCGAAAGGGTTTGCTCATGTAACATTCATGTTTCCTGAACACGCATTACGAGCTTTCAATGAACTTGATGGACATGCTTTTCAAGGACGATTATTGCATATTCTTCCAGGAAAAACACAACAACAACAATCTCAACCAGATTCATCTGAGTCGAATAACAATCAGGTATGGTCTGGAACATTTTCTCAAAGATTAGATTTAGTTTGAATTTGTTTTCTAGACACCAGCTTCTATCGCAACATCATCTGAGCAAAATTGGAATACACTTTTTCTCTCGACGAATGTCATTGCTGAAATCATGGCTGAACGATATGGTCTCGATAAGTCCTCGATTGCTAGTTCAACAAAAAAGAACGACAGTCTTGCTGTGCGATTAGCCGTAGGAGAAACTCAGATCATACATGAAACTCGACAGTTCCTAATCGATAATGGCGTTCAATTAGATTCATTTAGCCAAGCATTATCTACCGCCAAACGGAGTAAAACAGTTATTTTAGCAAAAAATCTGCCAATCAAAACGCATGATCAAGATTTGAGAATTTTATTTGAAAAATATGGCAAATTACAACGAATTATACTACCGCCATATGGTCATTGTGCATTAATCGTATTTGAATATCCACAGGAAGCACGACAAGCCTTTAAACAGCTGTCCTATCGCAAATTTAAAGATAATAAACCATTATATTTAGAATGGGCTCCAGGCAATGTGCTATCAACTCATATCAAAACAGAAGTTAAATCGGTAAGTTTGACCTCTGTAGAAAGAAGAACATCCGTTCTCATCAAATATGCGGCCAATATAATGAAAAATATCTCAGGCAAAACCTTCTACTTCTACTCAGTTCTATTCTGTATAGAAGCCTAATCCGATTAGGAGATTCTCGCGTAAGGATAACAAGCAAACATTTCCTATTCAACGGTAAATTAATGTGAAAGCTTTTATGAAAATGTAACGTTTATGATTATTTATTCATAAAAGAGAGTGTCAAACTGAGTACATAGTCCTCACGAGACGTGTATAGATTTTTTTCATGTCAAGCAATGATTTTCTCATCTCGTTCACGTTTCATTTAATAACGGCTGTCTTCCTATATCTTTCGTAAACATGCATGTAAATTAATCTTGTCTAGTTTATTTGAATCATGATCCATTCTTAATTAATCTTTATAAATAAACCTTTTTTAGACTGACTCAGTCGTCGAAGAGCAAGTTCAACCAACAAACATAATCGAAGAGGAAAAGCAAGATCAAAAACAGGATGTAGCCGAGGAAGACGAGGAGACTTTTACGTTATTCGTTAAAAATTTGAACTTCGACACAACTGATACCGATCTGGAAAATGTAAGAGTTCCCAAATGATGACTTGCAAGAAGACTTTTGTTTGCTTCGTAGCATTTTTCGCTCATTGGTTCGTGTCGAGCGTATGTAGCTAAAAAGAAAGATCCTAAACGGCCCGGCCAATTGTTATCAATGGGCTATGGCTTTGTTGAATTTCCGTCTTTGAAATTGCTCAACGAAGCGCTTAAACAACTACAACATTCTCAACTTCAAGGACATCAGCTGGAGTTGAAACGATCAGAACGTACGACAAAAGCAACGTAAATGACATCTCTTAGTACTCAATAAAGATTTGATTAAGTTTTCCTGTTCTACTTTGTAGTCCTGAAGCGAAATCAATGAAACGAAAACGACAGACCGAAAAAGAACAACAGACAAGCAAAATCTTAGTTAAAAATATACCATTCCAAGCAAATCTCAGAGAAATACGCGAATTATTTCGTGTGTTTGGTGAATTGAAATTTGTTCGCATGCCGAAAAAGATCGATGATGAACATCATCGAGGATTTGGTTTTGTTGATTTTGTCAGCAAGAATGATGCCAAAGTAAGGTCAACTCAAATACGATGGTTATACAAGCTATCAGTCCTTGACCTTGTTTTAGAATGCATTCGAAGCATTGTGTCATAGTACACATTTGTACGGACGTCGTCTGGTACTCGAATGGGCTGATGAGGAGAACGATACGATCGAAGGACTGCGGAGAAAGACAGCTGCTGAATTCGGTAATACGATGAGTTATTTATTTATGTAAAAGAAACATACTTTACTCTTATCGTAGATCTTAATTCAACTGGTAAACGTGTTAAACGATCCGAGCTACTGGGTGATTTGCGTAAAATGGGTGGCAGTGATCAGACATCGGAAAGAAAAACTACTGAAGATGATAATGATGAATAAAATAAAGAATATTATTTGCGTGTTTTGTTTTGTTATCGATCATTTATTTAGGTTTTTGTAACTTTCTTCAGATTAATTTAATCATGATCGATCAAATCTTTTGAACAAGAACCGACAAATGGAAGACTCTCGTACTTCTTTTATTAGCACCATTACTAATGGTATGACTGAATAGTGAGAAACCTGATGGCGATTAAGCTATTTTCCAAACGGCCAATTATTTTGCATTATAATAAGAAATACGCGAGAAAAAAAGCTGAACGAGAGAAAGAGATGGAGAAATAGAGGCTATTGTTACATACTAATATAACAAATAAAGTGTTGGAAAGATCGTTTGGATTCTTTTCGGGTGTATTGTCGAGACGATTGCACTATGTTCCTTCGACATAGACTGAAGAAGTAGGCAGGCGTTATGAAAGAGAGAAACAGAGAAAGTCAGTCCGCTATCGTAAAGAAGGAAAAGAAAAATTCTTCTCTCGATCTTTCTTAAACTTGTTGACGCACGAGAAGAACACATAAAAGAGGAAAAGATGAAGGGAATATAGAAATGTCCTTCGCGCTGTTCTTGACTAAGGCAATGAAAGAAGTACCAACTTCTATATCGTACTTAAGATTATGTTAGATGTGAAAATCTACTCGTATTCTTATTTTTCTAGGTTTTTACTCATTATGGGTACGGGACAAACAATTATTCTTGTCGATGGTGAGGCTCCACCACGTTTCATACCTTCGACACGTTTTACGCTGGGTTTACTTGTCTTTTTTGCTTTCATCGTTCAATATTCTCAACGTGTCAATTTACCCATTGCGATTGTTTGCATGGTTAACCGTACGAAAGCTGTTGAACATCCACTGTTATTTAATGGAACAACATCAGCCATTACAAATGATTTATCAAGATATTCAAACAAAAATGACCTACTTGATTTGACGCCAACAACGCTAAAGCCTATTGTCAAAGCTTTGCACAAGCGAGGCTTTCTCGATGAAAAGAAGTTCAATTGGATTGAATTACAACAGCAAATTCTCTTGGGAGGTTATTGGGCAGGATATATATTCACTCAAATGCCAGGTAATTTTGCTTTTCTCTGCTTATTCAATTAAAGAACAATAAATCCACATTCATTACTAAATTAGGTGGATGGTTGGCAACCACGATCGGCGCTAAATGGGTGTATGCCGGTTCGCTATTCACGAGTTCTGTTACTAGTCTTGCTATGACAAGCATGTATTTGATGCCAAGTACACATTTCACATTAATGTTCACTCTACGCTTCATCATTGGCCTTGCGCATGGTGTTCTCTTTCCAGCAACGATTGCACTTTGGTCATTATGGGCTGTTCCACAAGAACGAAGTACTCTTGCGTCGATCGGATTCTGCGGTACACAATTTGGCACGTCATTAACAATGCTTCTTGGCGGGCTTTTATGTCGCTATCTATCTTCCGGGTGGATGTACTTGTTCTCTTTTACAAGCGTCATTGGTTTTATCTGGTTATGTCTATGGATAATGCTAACATCAGATTCTCCAAATAACCACCGTACGATTAGTAGTCATGAACGAGATTATATCTGCAAACTAACTGGGAGCACGGGAAAGAAACGTTCAATGTCGTTAGGATCGATACCATGGAAAAATATCTTTACATCGAAACCATTAATTGCATTATTCATATCACATATCGCCAATTTATTTGGTTTATTCTTCTTTTTGACAAATCTTGGCAAAATTCTTACTGAACTTCTTCGCATACCAACACAATATACTGGTTATATCTTAGCTTGTGGATTCTTTCTCACACTTCTAAGTAGTCTATCATCAGGTAAATGATTTCCAAGCAAAAGACGCCTGTTAACTGGTGGACGAAAATTTCTTTCTAGGTATAATTGCTGATAATCTCGTTCGAAGCAATGTTATGACATTGACTACTGCAAGAAAACTGTTCAATTCGTTAACATCGTTTATTCCTGTTCTATGCATGATATCATTCTATTTTTGCGATCATTCAAAAAAACTACTAGGCATTGCCACTGTGCTCGTGTACCTCGCTGGTTCCGGTAAGTCCGATCGAGCGAAAAAAGACTTCCTCTCACGTCTATTCGATGTCTTTCTGGTGAAGTGAAATACGAGCTTGCCTATTAACATCACTCTCACAGGAAGGAAAGTTAATAAATACGAGAAGACGAGAAATCATAAAAATTCGGTACAATGACTCGAATGACGTCAGAGTGTCCTGACATTTAATTTGTTTTTCTAGGATTGGGTTACGGAAGCGGTTATTGTGTGAATTTTGCCGATATTGTCCCAGCATACTCAGGCGTCATTTTTGGTTTCGCCAATACATTTGCTTCATTGGCTGGTCTTATCGGAAACATCGTTGCTGGTATGGTTGTCACGAAACCAGTTTTAGAGCAATGGAGAAAATTATACGTTATGTTTGCCATTGTTTACTTTATTGGTGGTATTGCGTTTCTATTCTTCGGTACCGCAGTACCACGTAAATGGGCGAAATTTCAATCAGCAGTTGCCGAAAAAGAGAAGAAATTGAATGATGAAGAAAGTGTGCCTATGAATGAGCAAAAGCAGATCAAAGCTTAGATGAATATCTAGTCTTCTTTGTTGAACTTCCGTCCACTGTGATTAATCTCAATAGTCATTAATATCAATATTTCGCACAGTTAATTAGTATATGTGGCCAATGAAATTTATACAATTTTCTTTTTCGTTGAATGTTAGTTACCGTTGTATTTTATTTATTCGTTGTATTTATTGGTGCAATGTCATTTAAGATGTATTTTTCCCCTTCTAGTCATTTTATTTATAACACTCGTATATATATATATAATAAAAATAATTCTATGTTTGAAAGGAAACTTTGTTTTCTTTTTGGATGAATAGTTACGAGTTTTGAGATAATTGCATGCTGGAATAACCGTTGGAAGATTTGCGTTCTAGAGAAACTTGTTGTAATATTCTTCACGTTTCTAGATGAATCCAATCACTAATTTTGTCTATCGACAATGCTTAGCGTTATCTACTCGACAATTTTTAATAACTAGTCGAACGTATAAGTCGAATTTATCGTATGATAAATTGTTTCCTAAGTCCCACTCACTTGACGTGCTATCCGGACCAATCCAAGCGGTAAGATGGAAATGTAAAGACTTGCTTGAATTGATATTACAACAACTTTTAGCCGACGAATGAATCGACTGGAAAGGAAAAATTCAATGGATTTATTCCAATAGGTAAAAGGAGATTCGTTGAGAAATGTGATGGTTAATTCATTGTTTAGATAAACTCGACGTTACTCATCGACATGCACGAGGCCCAGGTGGTCAGCATGTGAATAAAAGTAAGTTGTACAATGTATTTCGATAATTAGATTTCATGGTCTTTCAACTAGCATTAACCGGAGTGGAAATTCGATTTCATGTCGAGTCAGCAACATGGATACCTGAGTCGATAAAACCTCGTTTTTGTGATATGGTTTGTTTCATTGGTATCTATTTCAGAGATGAAACTTGACATTGAACTTTATCTTTAGAATCACACACGTATTAACCGTGATGGTTACTTTATAATATTCTCCGATGAAACGCGTCATAGATTGCTGAATCAAGCACACTGTTTAGATCGAATTCGCGCTCTGATTCGAGAAGCAAGTCTTATTCCGAAAGGATTGAGTGATGAGGAGAGAAAAACAATTGAACAGAGGTAAATTACCGTTGAACAGAATGACTACGAATCTGATATTCTATGTATGTGTTTTAGAAAGAAAGCTGCATCTCAGGAACGTGTGATTCGTAAGCGAATTCAATCAATGCATAAACAAGAAAGAAAGCCGTCCTCGACAGACTTAAATTAAGACTTGAACATGGTTTGTTCTTTGTTTTTTATATATTTGTTGTAATAGAAAACAAGTGTTCACTTAGAAATAATATACTGAAGTGATATGCACACGATGGCAAAAGTGAAAAAAAAATTTCTCGATTGACATGGAAATCTTTGTTGTTCTTAGTAGATTTACTCTTCGTTGCTACATATCTCGCCGCATAGTTACAATCTTGTATTACGTTGTTTTTGCGTTCCGATGGGTTTTCGTTGAAAGAGAGTACATTGATGCCGAAGCAATCGGTAAATCATCTCCGCAACTTCCATTAATGAGAGAAAGCTGATACCAATCCAGAGACCTGTCTGGCCACCGATGTTTGAAATAATATCAACAGCACCAAGTGTGGCTTGTTGTGTGTAACTTTCGACAGTTGTAGATTCACAAATAATGTCGAGACTAACAAAATTCTCTCGAATTTCTTCTTTCCATGTTTCATTCCAAGTCGACGTTAATGGAATAGAAGTTGACTCAACAAATTGTTTGATACTATTCATGGACCAACGAGGCGGTGCTAAGCCAGAAGATATTTTCAATACAAATTCAGTGCTTGAGCATTCCAAACCACAATCTCCAGCATATTTCTCATAAATAGAAGCGAAACTTTGAAAGACAGAAATTGCCTCTGCATAACATGGATCGGATGCGTTGCATAAACTAGCGTAAACTGTTGTCGTAGATCCAAATGGAATAATATAACGACTCCCCCATTGAAAAGGGTTCACACAGCCACATTGTTGGTATCTAAGAATAAGGTAGTGCATGAAAAAAAGAGTTAATTCTGTCCGGAATATTCATACGTATACGCCTGCATAGCAACATCATAGCATAACTGTTGCGAATAACTATAGTTAGCTTCGGAAAATTGATCATAAAATGTTTGCAATCTAGGTGTAATCTGATCAGCACAGGTCGTGTAGGGTGATGGCAAGAAAGTGTTTTGTCTCTTGTAATAGCCAAGTCTATGTTTACGACCAGGGGCCAATTGAATGCCAAAAGCTTCTACACGAGGCAGCTCTGTATTATCGTGTACCATTGCTACTAAACTTATAGCTAAATATGAGTGATAACAAACGATAGATGAACCACCATCACAAAATCAGTTAGTTATCTTACCATCACTGAGATGCGGAACGTATTGTTGACTATGTATGTAAAGATCCAAATGAAGTTCGCCACTATATCCGTTTTCATTATTATAATGTATGGTATTATTATTAATACGAGGCGATTGAGCATTGAATGTATAACATGAACCGTATACAGGCGAAGCGAATTGCACGAAATCATTGACGGAACAATTCATACGATTGTAAGTACATTTAATCAACATTGAACTCAACGGATAATAGAACTGATTCAACGATCCGTTTCGATTGAGTATATACTGCGTGTAATCCATGATGTATGATGCTTGTTCCTCAGTAAATGTCGTGATATCATTTGTATTAGTTAGATTCAATGCATTTGTATAATTAAGAAAAGGTTCTATGAATTGATCATACCGCAATGGAGAATTGTTACAGATGGTCACAGCAGCGAACGTCTGTGGCCATATATCAGCAAATCCTATTAATGTTAGTGTAGGATATTGGAAATAGGCAAGAACTGCTTGAATGATAAAGTAGCACATAATGCCCAGAAATGCTAAGAATGAAATGAGCCAAAAAATTCGGTTGTGCATACTTTTACTGCGCGCAATACCGGGGATGCCATGGGTTGAAGTATTTAGACTAAACTCTTTGATGATGTCCCGATGTTGATTGTACCTTGCAGGTGCGTGTAATGCGCTACGGTCTATCGGAAATACAGTAGTAATATTCTTGATCGTAGGATTCAACATTGAGAATCTCTGTTCTCTGGATGTTTTCTCGCTCTCTGTTAACGCCGCTGACAAATAAGTTTCGATTCTCTATCAATATAGCACTCGCCACAATGTTTATATAATTCAATGAAAGAGACCGGTGACATAATTTCTCTGATATATTAACTGAATAAACTATATAAGTGCACAAAATATCATGCGTTCCGACCTCTTAAAATCATGACACTGAATCAATATTTGTTAAAAAAAGAGAGGCTTGTTTTTATTCACAACTCTTGTAACGTACTCAAACAGGAGAACCAGTTGTTAAGCATAATTACACATCTGTGAAAATGTGACGAATAATCTAATTCAGTAAAACAAGTTTTAATAGAACAGAATAATAACTCGTTACCGATCTGTAAATCTGTTCAAGTATCAAAACTTGGAGTGACAACGGCAACATCGAGTATCGTCTGTTACGTACAACGCTCTAGATGAAGTTCATTGCTTTATTTAGCTTCGCAGACGATACGGGTGACTCATACTCGTAAGTATATCTGCACTTATATATCTTTTATATTTATCACATATAGGCAATAAGCGAAACTATATTATTTTCGTGTTCTAGGCCTTAATAACGACTAATGCCCATGTGAATGATACTCCATACACAATCTAATACATTACGATACCAATATTAACACTTCCGGATTTGTACTTCGAGTGCAAATACATATTCTGTAGCAAATTAGTAGTATCGAAACAGCTACGAATACAAAGCTTGAATACTTATAGTGACCATCACAAGAATAAATGCTTGGTCTTCAGTCTCATCAACTTCCACTTAATAATAATCATCCGCAGCGATATATTTTCTCTTTGTAACTGGTACTACACGTTTATTTTTCGTTAATTTAAATACATGGACGATCAAGTCCAATACTTCCAATTTACATTTGCCATACACGTAATTTATAGCCTATTTCTCACGTAGCATAAGGTTCTGCTTGATCGCTGCAAGTTCGCGATCTTCTTCAACATCTCGCGCTGACAATATTTCGTATATTAGATGTAAATGAAGCAGTTTTGGGATGGATATGTATCAAAGCGCTAGGGAAAAAGTAATTGAAGATAAATAAAGCTCTTATACAAGTATTTCAACGACTTACTTTCAGTTGATATCAGCTAGAAATAGATTATCGATAGGACTGACTTTTTTCGAACAAAAAACACTGATTGACCTAAATCATCTTTGATTTGATCATTGTTTTTAAGTGAGCATATCTTCACCGAAACTATGTATCGGCGAATGGCTGCTGCTTCTCTCATAGTGTCGATGTTCGTGTACTGAATATAAGACTATTTACAAAATGTATGCAAGATTAAATCTGATCTATGCAATTTCGTTGTTTTCCTCTGTTTTATTTCTATTGCTTCTTCATTTTGACGGCTAATATTGAAAGTTGAGTCCTTCTCTTTTTTTCTTTTGCTTCGACATAATTTTTCAGATATCATTTCTGAACGACTAAATACATAGTTACCATTGCTCGAGTAACGTAATAGAAGATTTTTTTCTCTAAACTTTTTAGACTCTCTACCTCGTTGATATCGGTAATCACTCAAATTATTTATAGAGAAAATATATGTGTATACAATGATTTCTTATTAATTTGTTTTCAAGCATTGAAAGCACCGAATCCATCGATGCATAATAAAAATAGTTCGCAATATATGCAAAAAAAGCAAATCGTAATTGATGACAATGGTGACCTAGTCGACTATTTTGAGAGTGATAGTTTATTTGGCTTCGAAAAGAAAATAATTGAATGAATTTGCACTAATCGTATATATCAACAAATAATTCGATTTTTATTCAATACTTTAGTGAGCTTCATACTGGTGCACAACTGAAAAAAAGGAATGTACTACACTTCTAGTTTTATTCTGTCATAGATTTCTCCTCTGATGTAATAATCGTTGAGTGTTGAGATCGTCATTACAGGTTCTAGTGCTGTTCCCTGTTGCCATGTCTTGTATTTCATTTCGAATTCTTGTACTTGGGCTTGTTTACTAGCTGCATGCAAACAACATAACTTTTTGCATATAAACGAACGTTGAAATTCCTTCACGTAGTATCGATTCGGTAAAATATATATAAAAAACGTTAACATTTGTGGAATATGAACACAAAGAATGAATCCAGTATGAAGATGCATGTAGAATCGATTTGACAATAGATCATGTGTATACAAAACATAGTGTAAGATGGCGTACGGAGCTGAACATAGAACAATGAGCAGTGATGGCCAAAGAATATCCTGATATAATAACCAATTTTGGAACCAGTTCTGCTTGTGCTGTTGTATTCTTATGAATAGAAATGTCATACATATTAAATGAATGATACACGCAGTAAATACATAAATATAAGAGATGAAATTGTTGAAATCGAGCCAAATCCGATGTGTATAGTCTTTAAAAGTGCAGTAAAATTGGTCCGTCCGATTAGTGATTGCATGACGAGCGAAGATTTTGTCAAGATTCGATATTGAAACAATGATAAGAAGATTAAACGTAACAAACAAAGCACATTTACGAGATCGAAACCGATCGAAACAAAAACATCGACATAGAATGTTCTCAACAGTAATCGCTGCGCTCATCAGAATACTTGTATTACTGAAAATAAGAAACAAATATGGATAAATATGACAAATCCATTGACTGAAGAAAAATCCATTCGGTAGAAACGTAATAAGGATGTTTATCAAAAACAAAGCCATAGTGATCAATCCACATAATGCATACATGATCAAATAAACTCCACTTACAGTAAATCGTATACGATCATGTAAGAATGTTACCAAACTGATGATATTGTTCATTAAACCAAAACAAGCAAAGAAAATCACAATGAGAAAGTAATATCGACGTAATACGGATGTATCATGGATCAATTCACTGAACGATGGCAAGGTTTGACCATTGTATCGAATCTCAAGAACTTTACCAGCTATATTAGCACACATATTCGTCAGACATGGACCATGTCCAATACAACTATCGGCATCCGCGCATAATTTCATTGCGAAACGCGCTACGATCAAACGTCGAAAATAACTGATAACTTTATTCCGGACTCAATGAATGTTCGATTTGCATAGGAGAAAGCTTCTACTTCATTCGATATGAATAAGAACCATTTTCTATTCCAATTGTTTCTTTTTTTACTCTATGCTAATGTACTCTTTCACTTGATTTAACTATTGTTTGTACAAAAGTTTGTTTTCTCGGATTTTATTACTAAATAAAACTTGAAATAAAATAACGGATGCTAAAAGAAAACTGTCTGGAAACAGCTTGTTTACAATCGCATTGATTCACTCATTGTATTCGCTAAATCTTGACGATAATGACTATGTTCATCCGTGCTTAATGTATCATGCAAACAACGATCAAAGTTCGCATCGTGAATATGATTTATTGGCATAGCTGATTTGTATCGATAGAACGAAAGATCTTCAACTAATACTTGAGCTGGTCCTACGAAATAGAAAGACGAGAGATCGTTTGAAAAATAAAATGACATTCAACTAACCTTTGCCGAGTGTTTTACAATGTTCTGTAAGTAAATTCAAAACCTTGTCATGACGATATTCAAGAAACGTTCGAATATCATCCAAAGAGAAATCTTTTTCCGCTGCATAATAGATCGATGTCAAAGCGGGTGCCAGGAACGGCCATTTAGCACGAAGATTGACTAATTCTTCGTACATTCGATATCTTTCACCGTTGCCAAAGAAACCCTTCTCCCAGTCAGGTTGATCATTGATCGTTGATATATTCGAATCTGTATCACGTTCATGCTCATCATTTGCCTGTCTGTCGTCGAACATATTTGATGCGTACTTTGTTCGTAATTCGATGATTCGTTTAGCTGAAAGAAACTGTTCAGCTGATAAGGACCCTTTTAATTCTAACGCATCGTTATCGAATGTATTCAATGCGTCAGCTAAACGCGACAATTTCATTTGAGCACGATCATCCATGTATTGTAAAACATTTTGATTAGCTTCATTGATGCGTCTGATAATATCACGTTGCATAGCTTCCGCTTTGGCACGTGCATCAGCACGTTGCCGTTCAATAAATGAACGAACTTCATTTTGACTCTGTTGTCGATTGAGTTCCATCTACGAAGACGAAATGAAATAGATACGATGATGATTTTGTTGAAAATGTACTTGTTTAGCGATGTCATTCATCTCTTGTAAAACATATCGTTTGTGTACTCGAACACACATATCACAGTAAGCTTTTTGGCAATGTTTACATCGATGCCTAGCTGGTGAGGTGCACGATGGTTCCACACAAGTTTGACCATCGAGCGATAAACGTTGAGCATGGTAATCAGACATTGTCAAATCTGAATAGATAAGCAGACGTCTTTTTCTTCTATAGTCAAAATTCGACTATATATTACTTACTATTGATGTTTAAATGGATATGTCAAGCGAATGCAATGAATGCATGCGATTCTTCTTCTCTAGTATATATGTACATCGAAGATCGAGGTATATCGATTCTATGCTCGACGATCCTAACCGCCGGTATATGTTTGCACTCTCCTGTTCTGTTATAAATGATTCATTGATATGTCTACATGTTTATTTGAAATTCTTAGAATAGATTGCTTTTTACAATATGGACATTTCGAGTTCATGTTCACGTCATTAAAGACCTCGTGACGTCGGCAGGGTAATGGTGGGCGGTTGTGTAATTGACCTTGCTGCTGATTTTTCGTTTATTGTAGTTCCAAACCAGAAAGCAAGTATGATCGAAGCGAAATACGCGAATGCATGGCCAGTAACAACTAATTCATAACTATAGCCGATAATTTTCGCGTGACGTAAATAGCTTGCCGTAGAGATCAAAAGAAAGAGTGTACCAATGATCAGTAAACACAATGGAATGTATCGAAATTTCCGTGGAAATGCCCGGATAAGTAAAATAATAAGTAGAATGAAGCTAGCCACAAGACAGAGAAGAGATAAAATTGTCAGTGTCGCTGTCGAAGGTGAACAAACATTGTTACAATTCCATAGACCGTAACCATTTCTTAACCATTTCGGAGTAGTCAAACCGATTAATGTGAACAATGTTGCAACACCAGCAATACCTGCAGTGATTGCTAAGATTGTAGATTCACTTAGTTTCATATCACGTATGGATGAAACAAAACAGGATGTCAACACGAATAAGACCGATGGCTCAAAGTAAAGTTCAGCGTGTAGAACAGTAGAAATGTAACACGATGAGAAGAACGAACAAGGATGAAATAGATTTGTTTAATACTAAACACTTCCCACAACAATCGAATCAATTGTCTCCGAATTCGATTAATCTATTTCGATAGCAAGTCGAAATGAAAAGATTAAGACCGGTTAGTCAGAAGTACCGAAGAAGCATGACAACGTTTTTTTCTTCAAAGGTCATTGAAAATCGCTTTCTTCAAGTGAGTTAATAATGAAATTAATTGTAAATTTAAAATAGAAAAACGAATGATTTATGTTCGTGACTTTTGTAGTAAAGATCAGTGTATAGTTTAATATCAATTGAATACGTGACATTTGTACGCCTCTTCTCTCTAAGAGACGAACGAACGTATGACACCTACGATCTCTTGCGAACGATGTCCTATTTTCTCTTTTACTTTTATTTCATAAGTAACAACAAGACAACGTTTTCCTAAGAATTTTCGATTTCTTGAAATCTAAATACAAAACAAAATAAGAATGAAATATTCATCGAATCTGTCATTATGAATACATACGAGCATTTCGGACACAAATAGAAAACTGTTTGTCCTTCTACAATACACATGAAAAACATACACTTAGTCATTTGAATTCAAATAACGAATAAATTACCATCAGCTGAACGTAATTGTCGCGTCGTAAACGCCATTTCGTCATTTCCACAACGTGGACATTTTCGTTGAATCTAATTTGTCACATTCGTCTATGGATAAAGCCAACTTCCAAATCTACTTACCATTGTTCCTTCAATTGTATCTCCAGCATCCGATTCTTTTCTTTCATCACGAGTCGATCGAAAATCGACATGAACCGTCGATTGCGCCCCATGAAAAACTATTAAAACAATGTTCTTCCATCAAAATCAAAGATCGTTCCAAACCTGATATATCTTGAATTTTCCTACACAATAAACATTGAATCATCGATGAGCCATCCGGTAATGGTAAAATCGTTCCGCAAGCTGGACAAAAGTCTTGATCGAATGTGTTACTCATCTAATGAAATAAAACATCTCTCCTAAAACTTGTCGTAAAGGCGTATTTGATCAGAAATTGAAACTCTAGTTTGGTTTTATTTTCGAGAATAAAAGAAATACATCATACATGTGCATGGAAAAAGAAAAATAGAATTCTGCTTGTTCGTTTTTCTCATGGACGAAAGAAGCGTTTTGCTGCTAGTCTCGCGGTTTTCTTCGTGCCGCCTTGTTTCGAATCTGCATTACCGCTTAACATATTTGGTAAAGTTTGCAATGTGCTTGAATTATTATTATTTTCATTATTATCACGACGACCTCCGCTCTGGGCTTGTAAATCAACAATTTTGATCATGGATAACATTTCTTTATCGTATTTATCTTGTTCGTCCAATGCTTTCTTCTTCTGTTCATTGGCTTTCGTTGCTTCGTATTTCAGCACATTCAGTAAAGCAGAACAGTTCTTACACCATTTGTCTAAAACGTCTTCCATGCGATCGAAGGCAACGGAATTAATATCACGTGCAATCGCATATTCGACATTCAATCGTTCATTCAATTGGTCTAATTTGCCGCGAATGACTTGAGCATAGATTCCATCGATGATCAAATCTTCCAATTCACGCACGCTTTCGATCTGCAGTTGTTTCAATAAAAGTGTATAAGGTAATATACGAGCATGCACGGCAAGTGATGCCAATGTTAACAATTGTAATTTACGTCGTGCTAATGGAGACAATGTGATAAAACGATCGCGATTAGATTCATAATCCGACAAAGTACCATAGGCGAATAATTCTAATGTTGACAAAAGTTGGACATGATCGGCGGTGAGTGATTTAACAAGTGGTTCGAGACGGAGAAATTCGTCGAAACCGAAGATATCCGGATGTTCGAGCACACGAGTGACTAAGTCAACGGCAGCTGAACCACGTACTGATTTCGCTAGTAAAAGAAACTGTTGAGCGGCCTGTGAGGACATCTGAAATTTATATAGAGAGGACTAGACTATAGGAAAAGAAGAGAAAGAAGAAAATTCGCGATGTGTGTAACAACAATATATTCGTTCGTCGATTCTTCGCTCGGACGTGAATGGCTGAATCATCAAGCGCGATTTTACAAAATACAGGCAACTGTAATTCAACGATTCGACAAGTTCTTGTCGATGTTGAACATCTCATGGATATGCTTCAAACTGAACTTCATCAAACCAAATCTGCGAAAATCTCCGAATCGTTATCTTCATCGATCACCATGACGAATGTAACAATAACAGATGAAAATGATCATCATCAACTTATTGAACATCTCCGTCACCGCATTCTCCAACTAGAACATGAACGAAATGTTCTTCTAACTTCCTACGAACTACTGATCAAACTTCTGAAATGAAACAAGAAACAAACTGATATGTATACTTTTTTTTAAACAACATTCCATTTGAAACGTTTCTTTCTCTCGCTCTTTTTTCGAAATATTTTACAAATAAACAATGTTATGCATGACGAATCTTGCAGTTCCGTAGTCCGTGAAGATTTTTGCGAAAGCGATCAAAGACAAAATCATCCGTCGCTGTTTCCGACAAAGGTTTTTCTGGGCCAGTATCTGTTTTCGGATCTAAACAAAAGCATCATTCCATCTGAAAGGATTATCATCTATCACCATACCTCTTAACAGAGTCGGATGTTTTTCTTTGTTTCCAACAACAGGTTGAGATTTGACAATGTCCTTTATTTGATTCTGTTTCAATTTTTTCGAATTTACACCATCTGCGCCATCGGTATTGACTAGAAAAGTAAAGATGATTACGATTGATGCTTTTCGTATTTTTACTTACATCGTTTGTGTTGTACAAAACTAATTGCAGTTGGTTTCGCTGGTGAAGCTGAATCATTGTCTGACAAAGTTATCGGTGATGATGTCTGGGCGATAACTGCAGCCAGTTTCTTTTCTATGCCCTTCTTATCGCGCATCGTTTGAATTAATTTACGCTTAGCTTTATCTGTTTCTTCGATGTTGCGAATTTTTTCTCTAAAGTAAAAAATTGAATTTCGTTACGTTGTCTCTAATCGATTTTGTACATACTCAACACCGATATCGACTTCTGGTATTCCACTCAACATTTGTTCTGAAAGCATCTCTTCAGATGCTTGTGTCGAATGATCAGTGATCAGATGTTTACTAACATGGAAAAGAGTATCTTCGGGCTTTTTCAGCGTGGCGAATACGGCTGTTAATTCGTTATTAGAAGCTGAATTAAATCCCGAAGATGAACTCGAGGATTTCTGCTGTATTTTAGTAAGTTGCTCTTCAATATAACGTTGCATTTCAGTATCTTCGTCGCGCGTATTGGTTTCTCGAGCAAAGTTGTCATTGATCGTACTCAAGTCTTTTGATCGTTGTTGTTGTTGTTGTTGTTTGACCGTATTCATTTCGACAAGACCACCAGTTTTCATTTTGAAAGGATCATTTGACTACAAAACAAATTCATTGATCAACACTGAAGGAATAATCAGTGCTTACATCGGTTTTCCTCGAAGAAAATATTGGGTTTGTTTGTTTTCCAAGAGCAAGTTCTTCGGCTGAGAGGCCATTTTTACGCTGTCGAAGCTTTTGAAGTAATTTCAAATCTTCAATATTAGTTCTACGAGAGACAAACAAATATAAGGAAAACGATCGTCTCATATCAATTGTGCATACCCATTATCTGATTCTTGGTTTATGTTCACTTCATTACTATCATCATCGTTCGGTCGGCTGTTATTATCGTCATCATCGCTATCCTGTCGTCGACGGATATGCGCTCTTCGAGACATATTTTTCACTGGAGTATAGATTATAATTGTAAAAACACAGATGAAATGAAGAAAGGTGTTTCCCTATAGGAGCAACTGTTCGTATTGAATGACATTTTCAACCAATGGCAAACTTGTTCAATGACGTATAGTTACGTATGTCACTAGTGTACAGTCAACTTTTCACATCTGGTTATACAGAAATCAATTACTATTTTGTCATAACAAAGTAAGAGTGCCTAGATCATTGATTAACAATGGCCTTCGAGTGTTTTGTTTGAAATATTTAAATGAATCTATTCATTCATTTTGCGATATATAAATAGAAAAAAAGAAAGTGTCAATTGCTCACCCTTGTAAATTCAATGAACTGAAAAATAACTATTGTTCCATTGATTTGTTGTAGCACTCGTTTTTCTTCTCTTTCTTCTTCTCTCATGCAAATTATACATGATCAATGACAATCGACATGCTTTCTGCGTTTAGACAAATGAACTAACACACAGTTGTCATCATAGGTTCAATTCATTTCTTATCTTTTCCACTTCATACTGTCCATTTTTATATGATTGAGGGAAGAAAAAAGACAACAAGACATTGACATCAAATATAGTTCAATCAATACATGCACGAAAACGAGGTCAATATTCTATACACTTGACTGATTCTATTCAATCAGGAGATGTGATCTTATCGATAATTTTAATTTTCCCTGTTCGTTCGACCTTCATATCATAATAGTTGATTTGAATGGGAAAGAGCCGGCATTAAACAGCGATTGAGTGACGTTAAGCGAGCACAATCTTTGATTTGTAAAGATGTTATATGTTGAAATTGACAAGGATTCGATATGGATGATTTATTTACATGTTGTGGTAATTTCTTTCGATTTGTTAATATTGAACCACACGATGAACTGCGATTTGTGCTTTTAGAAAATAAATGCTTATATCGTGTATCATTCCGAATGGAGATGTAATAAGAAAAGAATTCTTTCGATGCTAATAGATTCGTGAAACGAAGTACACCAAGAGTGATCTTATCGGACAAACGAAATGTTATATGTTGTTCGCGAGCTTGCTTTACATCGCTGTGTCCATTGATGGTATCTTGCCAAATGGGAAAACCGGAACCGTATTCGGCGAGAATTAACGACAAATGTGATTGACGTTTCGGATGATTACCAGAGTCGAGTAACCAAACAGGTGAGCCATACTGAAATAGGATCCAGTCTTCTAGTTTGGCTAATCGTTCAGCGGTAGTGATGTACAATTCACAGAGACAACGACTGGCATAGACTTGTGTACCAATACTGCGAAAGGATGATTCGATTCGAAGGACTTCATCGGGAGAGAGAAGCGTCGTTTGTGGACATTGATTGTCATTATCGAATTTCTTGTATGATAATGATTTACGCGACACTAAAATCGAATTTATCACAAAGTTACTAATCCACGTTGCTCTCTCCTTAGTCTATTGCAACTTACAAGTTGATGTCATCGGCTTCAATTGATGTTCGTCTTCATGTGTTAATCGATCGCAACTTTTAGCTCGTTGATCCGATCGTTTGTCCGGTGTTTCTTGAAGGAGGTCAGTAAAGCGTTTTTCAATTGTTTCAAGCTCTTCGCAACTAAGCCAACTTTCGTCTTTGTGATGATAGTCACTTTGCTGATTGTTGACTAATGGTGATACACGTGCGACAGGTGTTTGATAGATTCGACTGGTTTGATAAGGCAGTTGTTGAACCTTCAATGATTGCATTGAACGATAGTCTGGATTGTTTGATTTTGATACATGTAATGAGGAAGTCGCAGAACGAAGCGTCGTAAACGTTGAAGATGATGACGAAGAATAAATATTCGAATGAATATAGTAATTTGTAGATGATGTAGATGATGAAGCCGTTGATGATGATGACGAAGCTGCGGAGTAACGATTCAAAGATGTGTTTGGCATTGTTTTAAGCACCAAAGAAAACAATTGATACAATGATTTGTTTGTTGCAGCGAACAGTGAGATAGTCTAAGAGAAGTTAGAAAAGATCTTGTATAATCACTGACTGATCAACCATCTATGAGAATATATTTGTTGTTGCACTTGTTCTTCTTCTTCTTCTCCTTCCCTTTCTCTCTTTCTCTCTCTTAATTGTTGTTTGAAAAGATGACCAAGGCGTAGATGTATGTCAACATGCTATACTAGCAATAGCGAAGCGTTCGATTGCAGTGACAAGCAGAGGAGAAGAACACAACAAAATAAAGAAAAGAAAGAGAGCGAGCAGAGTATCAAGTATTTATCACAGGAAATTCTTTCGGTGAATGGTAGAAAGAAGACGTAGACAATTTCATACGTTTGTTATCACTTGAAGGAAGATATAGGTGAAATGTATAATCAATCGAAAATAGCGTGAACAAATATATCATCTAGGTCACTTTCAATTATGTCGATGTGTAATGTTACACTCGAGATGATATCCGACAAACGTGTACATCTACACGCACAATTTCACTTAATCATGTCAAGTTGAAAACATGAATGCAGACTTATTAATAACTTCGATCGAGATCGAACACGTATACGAAAACAAACGTCTCTCAACTCATATAGATATATTCGTCGCGCTCCTGGTCTAAGATGACATCATCCTACCAGCAAACAATCAATTCATTAGTATCCATCTACTCTTTCCAAACATACTAGCTGTCTTTATGTAATACTGAGCTGATCATTAGTAGCCCTTGTTTCTATTATCTCTTGCGTCTGTCTGGACATCCTCTTCTTTGATTATATTACTTCTCGATTACGTAGACATGTGCTGATTTAATAATGTCCTATTCGTTGTATCATCTTTCTCTTTACATATAGATATGTTTCATTTTCATCTTCCTACCTGTCTGCTCTTTGGCCATGTAGATACATCATTGTCATATATTGACGTAAAACTAAGATTTGTCTGACCTTTTCTCTATGGATGATCTTATCTTTTCCGCTATTATGATCAAACGCTTCATTTTCAATCACGATCTATTACGTAGAGATACAAGTTTTCGTAATTAAAATATTCAATTTATTGCAACAAAACAATTTACATAACAAATGCCAAAGTATCTTTTATGCACAGTTCGTATGATAGTCATCACACTGAAAATTCATTATTTTCGTCGTCGCTAGCATCATTGGTCGGCTTCGGACGCTGCACTTGCGTTGAACGAGTAGTCAGAGAAGTTCGACGCCGACGAACGCTCTGCTGGTAACTAGAAACAGGCATAGACGGATTATTTTCGAGCGGAGAGCTGCCAAACTTACTTGCTATGCGAATGTTCGCGATTCACTGGACGACAACGACGACGATCGTAAAGATTATCTGTAGGTGAAACTTTTTGACGTCGTACTACTGGAGGTGGTACCAATTCACTGTCATCACGCACTGTTAGGACTGAAGAGAAGCAACGAGATAGGAATATGATCGAGATTGCAAGGGATTACTTACTTGTTTGCGTTCCTGTTGATGATCGTTTCGCATCTGAAAGAAGCCGACTATGTTCGACTTTCGGGAGCAGAAAAATGATCTTACCGGTGCCGCACAATAGTTTATTCCAGAATCCAGTTTTGGACTTTTCTGTTTTATTCCTTGTAGTTTGAATAGTAAAATTGCTGTTGAAATATGCCTGGAAAGAAAGATTGTCTTCATTGAATCGATCTAGCTCATTTATTCACTTACTTGATTGATATAGAGTTTATCAAAGTAGATCCCTGCATCGGCGAGGGATCGTCGAATGGTGGCCATATCGTCAGTAGGTATATTTCGAGTCATGTTGATTGTGATGAAATTCGATGGCGTCAGTGATAATTTATATTTTCTGTCTCTGATGAATTGCCAATTATGACGCTCCTAATTGATGAGATGATCGGTAATGAAAACATATCAATTAAAGAAATCAATGATTGTGTTCATTTATATCTTCAAAGGGGCGAATTTTATTTGAAATGTAGAGAGAAAAAATATTGAAATGAAGTCATGTGGTTGCACTAAGCTTTTACAATTGTGAATGAAAGAATCTACTACTGACTGGCACTTTTAACGTATTCAACCCGATACAAACGTCCATTTCCGTCTTCACTGAATAGTAAACTACCATCGTTCATTTCTAATAGGCCAACAGGTCGACCAAACGTTGTTGGGCCTTGTGGATCGATGAGAAATCCTTTCAAGAATTCTTCATAGTAACCAAGTGGACGATTGTCATCACCGAATGGAATAAAAGCAAGCTTATAGCCCGTACCAGCGTGTCGATTCCATGAGCCGTGAAAAGCAACAAAGGCGCCGTTTTGGTAATGGCTTGGAAATTGAGTACCACGATAGAATTGCATATCGAGAGCAGCCGAATGAGCTTGAAAGAGAACATCTGGTGTTCGTGTGCGTTCAACTAGATCTGGGCGTTCGCTTGTACCATTGGGAAAGCGTCGTCGTGGATCAACATTTTTTGGCGATAGATAGGCTAAAAAAAACGCATCAGTGAAACAGTGAAGAACGAATGAAGGTTCACTATTTACCGAATGGCCATCCGTAGAACTCATCTTTTTGGATTCTGGTGAAGTAGTCTGGTACAAGGTCGTCACCGATTTCATCGCGTTCTTGAACCGCAACATAGAGATCGCCACTTTTGGGATGAAAATCAATACCAACTGGATTACGTAAACCCCAAGCGAATGTTGCGTTGTTTGTACCGTCCAAGTCCACGACTTGAACAGATGCTCGCGATGGATATTCGATGTCAACATTGCTACCAGAACCAACTGTGACAAATAATCGATCGCCATTTGGTGAGACGATTAAACTGCGTGTCCAGTGATAAGTACTTTGATATGTGATGAGAACTTGTCCAGTTCCTTTCAATCTTTTATCACCAGTTTTGTATGGATAACGACGAAGTTCACCAGCATTGGCAACATAGAACCAGCCCTTAAAAGCAGAGACGGTTTTCAACTGAATCTCAAGTGATACTACGGAACTCACCTCAGTAAAGGCCATACCGAAAGCTTGTGCAACACCGTTTGAAGAATCAGCAAACACTGATGTCTCATCGCCACTCAGAATCGATATACGATTACCGCGCATTTCTGTCACAAGAATTTCGCCTGTTGGAGTGTAGATCAGTTGTCTTGGGGTATTCAAACCGTCGCGAAAGATTGTTACGCGAAAATTAGTATCGGGAACGAGTAATGTTGCATTGCTCGGTACGGCAACAACAATTGCGGGTTTTGTAGCAGATGATGTTTTGTATGGCGGTGGAAGATCATCCAAAGTGATACGTATCGGTTCTGGTTTGAATGGTTGCACAGGAACTACAGGTGCATCTTTCGTCGATACGAAATACACCGAACTAACCAAGAAAAGAATAAAAGCAGAGTACATATTCGATTGCCGAAATGAAAGACTATATACGGCTTTTTCATTGGTCTTATATACAATCGTACGGTTAATCACATTGTGAGAAGATATATATAACTTTGTAATACTTATTTAAGACTTACCGGAATCAATAATGCAATAAACAAGAAACTCGATACATATGTAGTTTATCACGATGACAAAGTAAAAAACCGAATTTGATTGTTAAATTGAAGACTAGACGAATTGAATGATGATGGAATAACGATATTCTCAATTATTATATGACTTTCATCGGATTCGAAAAAACAATCTCGGAGATAGTCAGGTGGCGACCTCTGTTTGAGAAATGTGTTCATTTCTAATGAAGATGTTCAAGGAATTTCATTATTAGTCTTATTGAGTAGATTGCTCATCCTAATCGATTTCAACGAGATCACAGATATGTCTGACTTTCGTCACGAAATAATTCATAGTAGTGGTACGTATTCAAATCGTCCAAGATGGTTGTCAGCTCTTAAGGGTAAAACCAGAAAAATCAACAATAATAACAAAAAACAACTGAGAAGTTTTCCGTTTGTTTGTCTCAGCGAAGATGAAAAAAAAACTAAGTTGCATTGAGTTCACGTTCTTAATTTTCTCTAGATTCATAACTTTTCAGAACCGAATCTTTAGCTCATTACCAAATGGCTTCACTTGCACGTTTTTCATTAACATCATCATCGGCTTTATGTCGTTTATTGATCAGTCGTAACGCTGGTCTTGTCCAACAACATTTACCCTCGATGATTATTCCAACTGCTACACAACAACGATCAATTACCACTACACCCATCCGTCGTGATATTGATTCAGCAGCTAAATACATCGGAGCCGGTGCTGCTACTGTCGGTGTAGCTGGTGCTGGTGCAGGTAAGTGTGATGCTCAGTTACGTCGAACAGAAAGTACAGAGCATCGTTTTTCTTCTTTTAGGTATTGGAACAGTATTCGGTTCACTTGTAGTAGCCTATGCCCGAAATCCAAGTTTAAAACAACAACTCTTCTCCTATGCTATCTTGGGTTTTGCTTTATCCGAGGCTATGGGTCTCTTCTGTCTTATGATGGCTTTCATGTTATTGTTTGCTTTCTAGACAATTCTTGATTCAATTTTCTACTTCCCGTACATACAAGAACATTTAGGCGAACTTTTTCGTTCTATATACCCATCCTGATTCCTTTCTAATCATTAAACAGTAGCCTATTGATCTTGTTAGTCCTAGACTTATATTTGTCACCAAAACCGTCGTGATTGTTTGTCTTCTTTCTTTTTTTTTATGCTAAACTCTTTTTTGCTTGGTCAACTTTGAAATAAATTCAAAAGAGATGAGACAGACTATCTGCTGATAAAAATATTTTCACTAGAGTATAACAAATAGAAAAATATTCATCAGAACTAAAAAAAGAAATCAACGAATTGCTTCTATTTCCAAATTGAAATTTCCTTTTGACGAATGATCACGTGAACGTGCTCACATTCATTAACATGTAACACTCGTTTTATCCACGATCTGCGTATACCAATATCAGTTAACGACGGCACATGAAATGAACCTTTGCGGCATGCGATACGAAAACTGATAAGATCTGGCAATGAACATAAGATCATTTCAATAATTTCTTCGATATTTCGATTGATCGATCGACTTGAATGCATTAAAAACGAGAAATTCCGTAGACATGGAAATGCGTGGAGTAAGAGATCGATATCTTTTATAACAATACGACCATCAGTGTCGCTACTGAATAACCACAGTTCTTTCAAACGATCAAATATTGTTCCAGGTAAACGTTTACATAAATAAATCAAATCGCCATACATGATTGTCAACGCACGAAGACAAGGTGTAACCGAACTTTTCGTTACTAGGAGAAGAAAGAATGGGATGTTAATTTTACATCGGGTCGATCGAACGTATCGTAGAGCAAGAAGACGTGGCAAGTATAACTGTTGGTTTAAATTGGCTTGATCGAGTATATTCACTGATGTTAAGTCTAGAGCTTGAATACATGGAAAACGATTGAGAACATGCAACCAATCGTTGATCAACGTTCGCTCATGTCGACCGCAAAGAAAAAGTGATTTTACACTTCGCGCTTGCCGTTGATACAATTCCGGATTTGTTGTTTTCCCATACCGTACCAATGGTGATGTAGTAACACTCATATTCGTTTCAAATTCATGCATGTCATATGGAACAGTATCGATGTGAAGTACACGACTATCCGAATAACAAATCACTGGTAGATTTGTGCGTGCAAATGATTCAACGAATGGACTGACATCAATCGATGTGACACCTGCTCCCATCCAGATACGTGTTCGAAAATATAGACGAGTCAATTTGGGTAGACGAGATATTAACAATGTCCAGCAAAGTCCATCAGCATAGTCCATATCAGTTGTCTCAATGTCCAGTGAAAGTAATTTGATTGTTGGAATGTGAATAACAATAACAAATAGATCGTCGAACGTCAAGGCCTTTTGATCGTTTGTTTGAATGTGAAAGTCGGTTAGTTTCTTTGGCATCACTTCTGCTGTTGCATATTGTTTCGGTTCATCGGCTGTGAAAGAATTGATTTCAGCGTAGAGTTTGATTAGATTTGGTGAACGTTTGAAGAGAAGTATCAAATCGTCAATATGTGCAACAATGATTGTCAATTGTTCAAGATGTGGATTGATAATTAGATCAGTGTTGTGTTGTAATCGAATGCCATTATCACCAACCCACAGACGAACTTCTTTAAACGGAAACGATGAACAGAAAAGATACCGATCGAGGAGAAGTTTCGTCGAATAGAGTAACGGTCTTAACGCATCGATATCAATAAGAATTTTATCGATCATTGCTAGTTTAGGAAGAATATCTACATCATCATTACTAAAATCGATTAAACGAAGTTGGATGAGATTCGGTAGGAAGTCACGAAGTGAAGTGTAATATTTTGTTGATTGATTGAACAAATGAATTTGTCCCGGAGCATTCCAATTGCTTAGGACGAACTTGGTGATATGTTTAGATGTTGATGGTAGTAAATACGAATACCAACGTTGATACTGAGTCAAGGTTAAATGATGTATGTCTGAATCACGTCGAAATTGACTGATTGTTCTGGTGAGACGCCAGTTAAGTTGACCAAAACCATCAATAACTTCAAATGGTCGTAGATATAAGCAAACTGCGAGAATAATTTCATCCGGTAAGTGTTCAAATTTCGAAACGGCCATTTCTCATGTTCTGTTTGTTAATTTGTCAGCAATCGTGTAATAATTTGTTTCATATTTTCTGATTCTTACACGAGACCACCCACACCTTGTGTAGTCATCCTTACAAACATATCAAAAAGAGAGAGAGAGAGAGAAAGAAAGATGTACAGGTGAAAATCAGAGAACAAGACAAACATCAAAACAAGTAAACAATAAAATTTATTAGAAGTTGTCTTCGATTTTCCTTTCCAATACGTATCAAATCAAATCCAATCATACAAGGCAAATAGGATTTTGTTATTCAGCATTTGAATCATTCGATAGAAAGAGTATTGTGATCTGTGAGAAACAAAATAACAATCATTACAGATCAATACGTTTCGATTGAATGACGTTCCTTTCAATGACATATGCATACATGATAGAAAATGTTTTAATGTTTTGTTAATGTACTTGTAAAGGAAGAAAGAAAGAAATCTCCTTCACACTAGAAATCCTTGAACATTTCGATATAATCATCTTCTTCGGCAATTACCAACGGGTTTTCATTGCGTTGCAGTACTTCACGACGATAATCAGATAACGACTTTCGTAGAACGTTTTCATAGAATGGTGATGGAAGTTGTTGAGTGTAAAGCGTATCGAAATCGATCTCATCAAACCAAAGATCTGCACAAATGAAAAACAAATGTGTGTCTGGCGTTTTCGTCTTCTTTATGTTAATTTTTACGTTCTTTGACATCCGTCGATCCTCTTGCACTTGAACCTAATCGTTTCGTAGGATTCTTTTGAAGTAATCGGAGAATAATATGTTTGAGATCGACTGAGAATTTTTTACGTATTGGCGGTCGTTTTCGACATATTGCTTTGAAAAGAAGATCTTCGGATTGACCTTTGAACGGCGGATTACCCGTGTTCAGTTCGTAGATGAGAATCTAGAATGAAAGAAAGCCTTCGTTTAATGAGCAAGTTTTGAGAGAATATCAAGGCATTCTTGCTCCTAAAGTCCACCAATCAGTTGCTTTACCATGACCTAGAAAGATGATCTAATAAGGTCCTTTTTGCTTTTGATCAAACCTTTCGATTGGATGATTTCGGGACTGAAATAATCAGGCGTGCCGCAGAGTGTGTATGTTCGTTGACGAATGCGCTTTGCAAAACCGAAATCAGCGACCTGCAAAGATAGTGATGAAATAAACTCGAAAAAAGAACTCTCGTACTTTTAAATATCCATGAGTATCCATGAGAATATTTTCCTAAATAAATCATCGTTAAAATCAAACAGAACAATTGAACTCTTACAGGTTTCAGATCTCGATAGATGATATTGAACAAATGTAAGTATTCAAATACCTGAAAGATAGAAAAAAATTGGTTTGATTATAAAATTATTAGAGGGAATACAAGAACGATCTGAGCCGCAAAGAAAATGGTGATATGTTCAGGAAACAATCGATCTCGATTCAAATAACTAAATAAGTCACCACCATGAACCTTGAAATGCAGATCATAGTTGAAAAAGAGTTTGCATCTTCATCGGATATTTACATATTCTAATAAGACATAAAGATGAGAGTTGTCTTGGAAAAATGAATACATTCGAATAATATTCGCATGTTGAATAGCATTCAGGATACGTATTTCACTTTGAACATGTTTTATTTGATTATATTTCACAACTTGAGACTTATCTAGAACTTTCAGAGCATATTCAACATTATCCGGCTCGAGTACTACCAGTATTACTCGACCTAGAAGATATGAATTCGATACTTTATTAGGGAATATACGTCTGGCATACCAAAAGCGCCTTGTCCGAGCGTCATGATCAATTCAAAACTATCTAAGTCGATGTCATTTTCCATTTCATAGGATGATTCATAGCGTCTTTCAAAATCTTCAATGAGTCGGGCATTGTATAGTTCATATTGGACATTTGAAATTGAATATGCTTTCTGCTATTGAAAATAGAGGGAAAAAAACACGTTAAATTCAGTTATTCTATGTTAAATTACTAATGATCTTGACGACATAAACAGATCGCAATTGAAGAAAAAAACAAGATTTGGATTTAGGCGCGTTTACTGTTCTTTTCATCTTTCAAAAACTTCCGAATACACTCATTCAGACGTTACGTGTATCAATGGGCGACACCATTTTGGCATTTTTTGTAATAGGATTCTTTAGTAAACCAATAAAATATCAAGATAAACTAAAAAACGAATTACACTTTTAGGCAGGCGAAAGCAAATAGATTTCACCGCATACGAAAAAAAAACAACAGAGTAGAAGGGAAAAGTTTGTTTTGTACCTTGCTAATAAACAACCACGAGATTTTCCCCCACTAAATCGTTCCTGATTGCAGTTGTTTTGTTACTACATTTCTACATTAGATAAATATGTCATCCAATACTCCATCAGTACCTATGTCGCACCCAGCAGGATTGTCAAGAGCTGATAGTAACACGTCACTATCTGCAGCGGCTAACACTACCAATACAAGTCCTGGTCAAACTACAGCGCATACAAACAACGCGCCGATCTCACGCGAGCGTATTGCTACTTGGATCAACGAGTTACTTTCATCATCAACACGTGAAACTGCTCTAGTGGAATTGAGTCGTAAACGAGAAAAGGTTGCTGATCTCCCCGTTTTACTTTGGCATTCCTTTGGATCCGTTGCTGTACTTCTCTACGAAGTGATGTCAGTCACCATATTTCATGAAAACTTTTATCGTAACTATTGAATATTCTTCGTTTTAGTTCCGTTTATCCATACATCACGCCACCGACTCTAACAGCTCAACAATCCAATCGTGTTTGTAATGCCTTGGCTTTATTACAATGTATTGCATCTCATCCGGAAACCCGCATGTTGTTCATTCAAGCAAATATTCCCTTATTTCTCTATCCGTTCCTGAATACAAAATCATCCACACGTCCGTTTGAGTATCTTCGTTTAACATCCTTAGGCGTCATTGGTGCATTAGTTAAAACTGATGAAACAGAAGTGATTAATTTTTTGCTAACAACTGAGATTATTCCATTGTCATTACGAATTATGCAATCCGGTAGTGAATTATCCAAGACAGTGGCAACATTTATTCTACAGAAAATTCTCGCCGATGACTCAGGATTGAATTATATCTGTCAAACGTTCGATCGGTTCTCACACGTTGCCATGGTTCTTGGACGAATGGTTCTTCAACAGGTTCAGAGAAGAGTTTCTATTTTCAAAGACATGTTCGTCTGTTTTTAGCAACGCGAGGCAAGTGGTCGTTTGTTAAAACATATCATTCGATGTTATCTACGTTTATCTGATAATCCACGTGCTCGTGAAGCTCTCCGCTCGTGTCTTCCTGATTGTCTCCGAGATCATACATTTGTAAAAACAAAACTATCTTTAATCGAATTCGAACCTTTCTTGTCCTCATTCTTTTAGGACAATGTTCTCAAAGACGATCAATCAACTAAGAAATGGTTAGTACAATTATTAATCAATCTCGAAGCAACATCTTCAGCAAGTAGTTCTCAACCGTCAACACCGGCTTCTACGCTTCCACAACAAATATCGCCAGGGTCACCCTTGGGAATGTAAGCAAGAAGAAGACCCTTTACCAATGACATTAGTCATTCAAATTAGAAGCTTAGTAGATTTTTCAATGCTAAATGTACATTTCGATCGAAACCGGTTTTGTTCTGTTTGTGATAAATCTATTTAAATAATTAGAAAAAAACATAGTAAAACAAATAGTAGCCATTGCGCCGAAAAATAGAACTCTTCAAGAACAATAAATCAACTTTTCCTCTGCTTTTCTTCATAAACTCGATTCAATAAGATTCGTACTCGTCGCATGCATTCTCGAGTTGGGTACAATAAACAATGTAATGTATACATATAATGTACATCATGTTCTTTCAACGGTTGAAATCGAGGAACAGTCGGACCTTTGAAACCAAGAGTGATCGCTTGATCGATATTCGATGGGTTGGTCAGATTTGTAAATAAATCTGTTTCAATATGATGATGGAAATCTTGAGCAACAGTCAGATTGATATTATACTTGACTCGGAGTAGATAGGCAATGTGAGTATCATCCGGATACCCCGATGCTATGCAACCGTTGACAAATTTCTCATTGGGATGAACGTCATTACGAATCAAATGTAATAGAGATTTAGAAAAACAAATTCCGCCTCCGTAAGTTCCAAACCAAAACTGTATTCCATGGCCGCGTTTTGGCTCTTTCATGCTCGGCTTACCGATATATAGATATTCTTTCTCGGGGGAAAATTGTCGTAAGTAATCAACCAATAACGGAACATTTACATACTGATCATCGTCAAATCGACATAACCATTGATAATGACTTTCATTTTCAAAATAGATCGAAAATTCCGATGCACTATGACAACATAAATCACGGATCGTATGAGCTTGTGGGCAAGTCGTTGAATATACATGACGATGATATTCTTGCGGAAGATTTTGGTAGAAGAAGTTTACATCGCCGTTCGTTGTTATGTATGTTGATGCAGGAGAAAATTGAAACCAAGTATTTAAAATAACTGGCATGCGTGGTTTTTGACCATTTTTAGACGTACGTATAATAAGCATAATGTTGTGATTAAGTACAAACGACGCAATGTCTGACGAATTCGCTTTGAAGTATGAATAAATGTTGATTGAATTGGATTTATTGTCGATCGTATTCGTTTGCGAAGTTTTCATTTGAAGATGGAAGGAATGAATAAATAACCAAACACAGATAAGCATTAAGTAATGACTACTGTATCGTCGTGCGATGAACAATATCCTCCGCATGATATTTTTACACATAATGTCGAACTGGCAACTCTATTTGACACGGGATGAAAAATATCAGAAGAAAGAGAACAGAAAAGAACGAGAAAAATGAATTTCTTTTTTCTTCTGTCGGTCTGATGGCGTACACATATACACAGGAATTGTTCGATTATTGTTGTTCGTGATCAAATATACGATGATGTGGCGAGAAAAGGAGAGTCTTTTTCTCGTGTACAAATGTACATATGACTCATATCGTGTTTGATCTTTAGGGAAAGAAATGAACGAAATCGTTTCGTATGGGAATTCCAGTTAAAGTTGTTTCTTGTATAAAATTCAACGAATTTTGGTGTGTTGTTGTATCAGACAAAAAGAATCTGATTCACTTCGACTACAACAAACATTTAAGAGCTGTTATTGATTGTATAAAAAAAAGTCAGGACTAGCGAGGATAATGAATAGTTTAAGCAGAGTTATTAATAGATCTTTTAGATAACTAAGATCTATTGACGCCCTGTCCAAGCGTGACGGAATCACGTTTTTTCACATTACTTTTTCAATATTTAAATTCACAGAGGTTGACTAAGTCTATTGACGAATATCTGATAACAGCACAGATCGTTCTGAAGAAAGCTTTTAAAACAAAAATTAGTCTAACAAAACACTTTGCTACAGTCAAAATTCATTTTAAACCAAGTTTTCGAGAATAAAATCGCCTACTCATTTTTCTTTATGTAAACTAGATCATTGAGGGTGATTCCGTCACGAAATTTGTAACCTCATAAGACGTTTCGAAAAGCTATTAATCATAGGAATAGATAGAGTGTGGAAAAGTGTATTTAGGGTACTAGTTTTGTAAAAAGAAAGCAACTCAGATTTCACTAAAAATGAATTATTGATACATTTCGTGACGGAATCACCATTATCAATGTACCAGGTTTACAAATATGGGTAATTTTAAAAAGAAATGACGAATCGTAAGTATCTTTTCATAATTACATACTCTGTTGAACGTAGTACTAGTTCATGTAAAAAATTTTGAAAAAGAAATGTTCGCCCATAGGAAAATTTCAATATCATAATAGGTTAAAATTCGGACCATTCTTCATTTTTGAGACTCGTACTGTTTGCATGATTGACTTTCACACAAAAATATACAATAACAAAAATAAAAAAACGAACTTCTAGTTATTTCGACATTGCTCTACAAGATGGTGATGTTAGTTTCACTTAAGGACGTTGATCAAATTCGCCCACTGAAGTATGCAGTTACGTGGACAGGCCGTTGATCAAGTTTCGTACCGAGAACTGTTATCACAGAAGATGATGAAACAGTGCACATTCAAGGTTACCGAATGTCAAATATTGTCTTAGTTGTTTTGCAGATGATAATCTTTTTGGTAAGATTATATTGGATTTCAGTTCAAATTAGTAATCATTGATATTTCTGATGAAATTCGTAAGCAAGTGCGTCAGCAGGATCTGCGTGGGTACTACTTGTGTTTGATCAAAATATTTTTCTTCTGTAAAACTAAATACAATTTGAGCGTATATATATATATGCTGGTGACTGACAACTTGATCTACTCGATATAAACTAATTTCTTCCTACAACAGCAGCAGCCATGGTTTGGTTATTAGTGAGTTTTGTGTTAATATCTCAATTATCAACAACGCTTGCATCATATAATTGTCGTCAATGCTCTCAAACGTTCGCTTTAAACATACAATTGGGTCAAGTACCGGTCGGATGTCCATTAAAAAATGGCACAAGTACCATTTGTGTCGCCACGTTGCGACTTGATTTTGCAGAAAATAATGCAGCAGTGACTTTGGATGGCTTACTCCAAGAATCATTGAATGACTCCAATGGTACTCGACTGATTACACATAGTACGAAGATGCGATTTGATACCTCAGAATTTGAGCGCACAGTCCAAGTCTACTGCTTCTCGAACGATTCGTGTTTTAGCGATATTAGTTATATTCACGACCTAGGTAAGTATGGGCTACAAATAATGAACATTTTCCGTATATATATTTCATGTTTGTATAGGTAGAAGACTTCAAGTCGGTAGATCACGAGCAGAACTTCAACCTGACTTGTATAATTCTTCGCATGCGACTGATGATTTGTCCTGTGACAACAATCAGAATCAAACGATACCCTGTCCGAATGGCTTGTGCCAGTTAATTTATGATGGCGAGTCACAATACATTCGAAATTGTATTCCTAATGGATTTTCTGTTTTACCACCTGGCATCTTCATTGCATCAAGTATGATCGACAGCTTTAAAAACGAGTCTTCTTTCATATATATTTGTAATCGAAATCGATGTAATAATATGAGTATGGCTAGAAAAGTACGGCAAACTCTCAAAGATTACGGATTATTAGAACCATTTTATGAAACACCAATATACGTGTTAGAAACGACAACAACGACGGCGACCACCACCACAGCTGAAACAACTACTACAAAATCAAAAGGCATAACAATGGAAATTCTTCCTGGTATCACTGCTAGTATTCAATTGATTTTATTTCTCGTATTCAAAAACCTATAAATGATACTCTTCATGAAGATATATTTTCACAAAGATGTATCCACTTTGTATTTATACACTGAATCGAATAAACGTCGATGATATTCTACAACTATTATCTATAGGACAAGAACGAAATGTTTTGTGAAGTTTAATAGCAATGCTCTATGTAGTAGAACGTCAATAGGACAATATATGAGTATGAGAACTTAGAAGCTAAGCTATTCTCAAATATGCCCATAGTCATAGAACGACGACAACGCGTGAGATTAAGTTTATTAACAAGTAAATATAATTTCCAATGAAAGTGGGAATTAGTACGGAATCAATATTTAACCAAAATATCTGCCAAAAGATCAGAGCACGAAACTATATATCTCGGAAGTGATCGACTGCATCGTACATCATATTTAAAACCCTGACGATGTATTTTTCACTACTCACGTTTTTTTTCGTTTTGCGTTTTGTTGCACTAACTTTTGCACTTCGCTGTTCCGTGTGCCATCAAACTCTGCTGTTCAATTCATCAGAAACGATCAATACAGCGCGATCTGAATGTCGGGTAACGCACACTAATAGTCAAATGTGTATGTCAGTGCTATCAATCGATTATGAAAGCAAAACAGCTAACGTTACATTCAATCATCTTCATGAACAAGAAATCATTTTTACCAATGGACATATGATCAGTTCAAGTTCGATTAAGATTTGATTTAGTAAAGATGTCGTCTCCTATGATTTGCAAGCATTCTGTTTCAATAGTACCATTTGTGCAGACGACCGGAACAGGATATATAAACGAAGTAAGTTTAGTAAACTTGTTTTTATAAGTCTTCATATTGAAAGATCAACAATAGATTCTAAATGTGTCTTTCATACATATATAACTATACTTTGTTATTGTTTCTCTTAGTGAAAAATTTCAATGATGTTGAACTTCGTACAAAACTACAAGAACGTCTGTATTCTGCTCAATTAAACTCTCCCGACTTGACATGTGCTAACCATCAAGGTCAAACGATACAGTGTCAAAACGGATTTTGTCAACTAGTTCGTCGTAGTCCAACTTCTGTCGATCGTCTCTGCGTTTCTCAAGGTCAAGGCACAAATCCATCTGGTATTGTCATAAAAACCACTACTAATCCTGCGCTTTACACAGAAAGAAGCTATACATATGCTTGCAATAAACCTATGTGCAATGGAGTCGAAATCGAAGCAAGTGTACAACGATTGCTAGAACAGTATGAGCTAATACCATCACCACAAACAATCGTCACAATAACTGACAGTCCAATTGCATCGGAATCGACATCAATCTAAACTGCCAGTCGACCAGTAATGGCAACCAATTCCACCTTGCCTACAAAATCATCCACAGGATCAAATTCGGGAAGAAAAAGTACTACTACACTCACAACGACGACAGAGAAATCAAAAGCAAATCGAATGATGACGTGTCAATGGATAGCTTCTCTGCTGATAATTATGATTTTGAATCTTTGTTATCTTGATTGAACTTGTATTCGAAGAACATATCTTTGTGCTTCATTTTATCGAAATAAAATCATCATTTCTATTTTTATTTGGTCGATTCTTTTGAGTTTATTTTCTCCTTCGAGCATCAAAACGAATGCTTCTATGGTACCATCAGAGTATGTTTGTGTGGAGGTTGACGATGACAGGACAAATAAAAAATGATTCCGTACGTATGTGCATGTGTGCATGTGCAAGAATCCGATTCATTTTTCTTCATTTTAAAGAAAAAACTGTCATACAGGCAGAACATAAACAGTGTGAATAGTAAATAAATCAACAAAGCAAAAATAAGGCAAAAGTCGTGGTAAGTTGCGTCGATGAATCGAAGATCGTTTTCAGTAATATTTCGTATTCTTCGTATTGCTTTGCAATTATATAGAGAAAAGAAGTCAACAGAAACCAATTTGAACCTATTGAATTTGAAATCTAGGCGAAAGAAATTGATATTAAATCAAGTTTATTTAGACAATTTCTTTTTCTTCTTTGTCAATTGAATCAACACACTTGACAACGTGTGCAACTGCCAAATGTCATACAGATATCACGACGATTCCGATGATGATGAACTAAATCGGTATGAACGAGACCCAGGACGAGAAGTCGTCGAAAGGAACACGCGCAATCATTTGCAGCGTATTGCTGATCATACCAAAGATGAATTAAGCAAAGTTTTAAAGCGTGTCGATACTGTACGTGACTGAAATTTCTTCTCACTACGTGTTTACCGGCTCATTTAGACATTGAATAACTACGAATACTCAGTACAATCGGCTCTGAATCAACACGGCGCCGCACAAGGAAACAAATCCAGTGTCGAACATCTTGCGGACATCAGTGAATTAGAGAGTCTATTGAATGATAGTATAGCCAAGCAAAAAGTAGGCGAATTGATGAGTGATTGCATGAATTGGACATTTCGTTTTAGTATAAACAACGTTTAACAGTTTTTATCGTCGGACAAACAGAACTAGCTACGGAAAAAGCCAGTCTTCTTCAGCAAATCGAACAAGTAATCATTCTTTGATTAAAAAACAATGATAATCACTCAAGTTGTCCTCCTTCTTCATATTAGTTTTTCAGCGAGCAAAAACAGAGTTTTAGTGGAAGTGAATTCAATACATATGACGTTAAAAACGAAACACAAGATGAAGTTGACTTAGCTCTTCGATCGTTCGATGTCAAAGATTGCTTTCAGCATGTTAAACAATTAGGAAATCGATTAAATGAACTAAACGATGATATCGTCACTTACCTAATCCAAAACGCTGCAGCGAAACATCAAGCCAAGTGAGTGTGTTTGCATTTGATCATTTCCAACGCCTTATCTTACTTTCAGAGGTAAAAAGAAACTAGCACAAGCGACAAAGGAGACCAAAGATCAGCTATCTGCATTACAACAGAAACTAGAATCAATCAACAATGGTACGTCACATGAATAGTTACACAAATCGATGGTGAAAGCGTACTTGTTTTGTAGAAATGATCAATAAGGACAGCAAGATCGAAGCACTGGAGAAAGCTAACGAAACATTACAACGTGATTTGAAATCCAAAACTGACTATCTTGTAAGTATTATTCGATTACATATCGGATGCTGAGAATGAACATTCTTCGCTTGTCTACAGAAACAACTACAAGAAGAAACTGTTCAACACAACTTAGAAATCAAAGCACGAAATAAAAATATCACAGAATTAGAAGTAACAGTTCAACAACTGCAACAACAAATTGAAGATTTGAACAATACTATAGCAACTATGCAACAAGCTCCACCACCAGTGAGCAATAATACGAAGTCAGACTTGATCTCAATCAAATTTTTGCTAATTTCATTTTAGGAACCTGTAATTATCAAAGAACCACCTGGTACGCACTCCTATACAGGACTGATACCGTTGTATCCTTACTTCATTTAGTACCAAAAACAGATAATGCATCACAAACCGACGAAGAAACATCTCCAATCACAGTTGTTTGTATTTCAACTCCTTGCTGACTAGCGAACGAAATCAAGTCTTTTCTGTTAAGGAAAGACAAATACAAACACTTCCACAACCGGTTGAAACTCCTGCTCGCGGTCAGCCGATACCTGTCGATGCAGATCTTCCAGACTTGAATGTATTCTTCAATGTACCCGATGGAATCGATTTGAACAATGTTCTAACTGACAACGCAACGGACGCATTCGTTAATTTACGGAAATTTGTATGTGAATCGCATTTTATGTGCGAACATTGATTGCATTCTTTCGATAGGCTGTGATTCGTGTCAATAGTTTATTGCAAGAGCAATTGGAATTGCAAAAACTAAAAAACGACGAAGAATTGGAAAATTTAAAACAAGAATTTGAAGATTATAGAGTAGCACAAGAGAAAGTGAGACAACTAGATTTGTTCGATCGTATTCCCCTTATAATACCGCTGCTTTTGAGGAATACGAGGCGTTAATGGAAAAAGCGGAACACGCGCATGATCTACAAATGAAAGCTGAAAAGGCATTGAGTCATTTAGAATCTCTACTAGCTGAACAAGAGCAAGTGGTACGGTATTTAAAAAAAAGACGTTTGTTCTTCAAAAGAATTATGTCTGAATATTTAGAAACATGTTTTGATTCATCAGCAAAGTCAAACTGTAAGAAGAATATTAGAGTTTTACGGATATTTCATTTTTTGATTTGAATTCGAGGACGTCGAGGAAAACCTTCATGAAATTCTCTCCACGCCCGAAAATTCCATTCCTATCATTGAAGTATCTAATGAACAAACAGATTCCGAGGTAAAAAGTCGAGTTAATTTCGAGACAAAACCAGTGAATTATTCGATAATTGCGTCTTTAGAATGATAACAGCGATGACGAATCTGATAAAGAAGAACGTTCACCATCACGAGAAAAGTATGTGTCCTTTATCGAAGAACGAAAAAATCAACTTGGACATCGAACTCATCAACCAGAACCTTCTCCATCGCGCAGAACATCATTACGAGAAGGAGGACCATTTCTATCACTCGACACGAACAGTGGTAAATAAAATAAACTATCTTTACACGAAGTGTATCTCATTTGTGCCTGAAGGTTCACTCCGGCACCGACTATCCAATGCATCGTATGGTAAAATTAGTCGTCAAGGAACTCTCCTAGGTAAGATTCTATTGAAGGTTTCGAATAATACAAAAAATGATCTTATTATAGAAGTTGAACCAACCATTCGATATGATAATGAACAGCAAACATCTGCTGTTACTTCCCGACGTTCTTCAAGACGAATTCCAACGTAAATTTTTCATTCAATTCGATTTCCACGATTTGTCTTTTTAGGCTTGCATCGCAAATGATTCAAGCGGACGAGGGTAAACTTCCCTTTTATCATCTCTATGAGCTAATCTACAGATTTCGCCAATGGATTATTGGTTTACTTGAACAAAACAACTTTCTCACTCTTGCCGATCGTCTTCTGATGATTAAACCGTTGACATCCGATGATCATTATTCACCCGAAACGTTTCTTGATAATGCTGAACGTTCTCTGAAAGATACAAGAAGAGTTCTACAATCCTGTTTATCACTTCTCATCTCGTCGATTCAAGAATACGAAATGAAAGAGAAGGAAAATCTAAAAGAGTTATCGACACAACCTACACGAGAGCCTTCGATGATTGATGAGCAACAACAATTACTTCTCGAACAAAAAGAGGCAATGATTATTGATCTTTCAACGAAATATGAACAATTGACGAATGCTTTTCATGAAATGAATACGAAACGCGAAGAAGAAATCAGGTGAATATTATTGTAATAGAATTTCTTCATAATCAATCTTAATTGTTTGTAGTCAAAATGAACGGTTTATAGTTGATCAACAGAAATTGATTCAAAATCTTCAACAACAAGTGATTCGTCTGCAAAAACGTCTTTCAAAAATCGAAGCTGAAGGAATCGTTGAGCCAGGCATCATGTTCACCCGTCTTGACGCACAACGAAATGAACAAACACTTCAACAGGCACTTCATAAAGGCAAAGTTCTCGAAACAACTTACAATGTAGAAATCGATTGAAAAAAGAACTGTTGACATGTACCATCTGTCTCTTTTCGTAGGAGTTAAATGAAGCCATGGAAGACTATGTCAATTTACCATCACAACAATTAGCCAATCTTGTTAAACGATATATGCATTTTCGTCGAGCGAATGAAATCGAAGGTATATGAACGATGAACATACAGATTGGAAATTAAGCTTTGTGTTTAGATCGTATTCAAAACGAAGTTACAGATGGTAATACGAGAGATGTGCTGGAGAAAATGGAATTATTATACGAACGGGTTTGTCGTACTTGAATCTTTCTTTGTATTTTCCAAAGAAACTTTGCTCTCTAGCGTTCGGATGAAATTAGAAGACAAATATCAAATGCGAGACAGCAACGTTCGCATTTAGCACAGATTTTAACTGAGAAATTCGATGATCTTGAAGATGAAAACAGTATTTTTCTCATACGGCCAGTTTATTCCTATCAAGGACGGTAGGTTTCTGTTTATTAACTGAATAATTGATCGAATATTTACTTATGAAGAGCTGCTGTTCAGTCGTACATGAAACAAGAAAAACGTCGACATGAAGCTGTATCAAACGACAATCCGATGAAAACAACTCATCATCCTACTCGACAATCACAACATCCAAATAAACAACACGAACAAAATCAATACACACGAACGCCGATGTCTTCCTATCGAGTCTCGGACGAAGAAGAACGATTTTTCAATGTAAGATAAACAAAAGCCTACCGATAGTTACCATAGTTTTCATTACTAATAGATCAACCAGAGTGTTGCTCCGCAGCGTACATCGCCAACTCGACAGCAAAATGATTCGAGTGAAGCCCAACAATTCACCGTACAATTAGCTGATCTACCCCGTCTACAGGAGTATGATATTCAAAGAACTTTAATGCCAATGTCACATGTTAGCACACAACTTCTCTCCGCGTATACAAACGACTCGATCGATCCGTGTGTGCCTTCGTTGAATTTGCGTTCGTACTTAGCTCTATCCAGACCTTGTGTTGGAAATATTCGATCTGGCAAAGCGAATGAAGTCATTCATACCGTTTCACGTGAAGCGCATTCCAGTGTATCAGGTAATTTGTTTACATCTCATTCAGATTTCAAATCTTCTCACAAACATATGAAATAGGTAAGCGACTAGTAACAGATGCTCGTACACCGGTCAACTCAGTGAGCGGAGATCTAAGACGAAGCAGTCCACAGTTACCGCCGATCAAACGAACATTACCATCAAGCATATCAAATGAAATTCCTTCAACAACGTGACGTGATTTAATGGTCTGAGAAAATAATAAGAGTACATTCATCATGTATCTTTTTTGTCTAATCGAAATAAATTCTTTTACAACTAACTTTTTGGATTGAGAATCCCGGTATTGAATATAAGAACACTTCTTATGTGAACACGACATCTAGGGGAGAACCGTTCGGATTGCTTGACTTCAGAAGACCAATAGGAATTAAGCTAACTAGAGAGTATCGAAGTTTATATCATAATCCTAATCATACGTTTGAGAAGAAATGTCCGACGATCCAAGTACTTCTCGACCTGTGCGTCCAGTAAACTCAGCCGTGAATTCAACCGATTGGCGTCGATACAAAGAACAACTGCGTGCATGGAAAAATGCTCGTTTGAGAAAACAACTTGATGCTGAACAGGTCGAAACTTCCGAACAAGAAACGACTACAACAGCATCAAAATCAACATCTCAACCAATCAAAGGCCGCTCGTATACGCTGTCCATCGCTTTACCAGCTTCGATCCTGCGCAATGCTCAATCGAATGAATTACGAACTTATCTAGCCGGCCAAATTGGTCGTGCAGCATGCGTTTTTAATATCGATGAAATCATTGTTTTCAATGATGATGAAACTGTTGAAGAAGTTGATAATAATCCCTTCAGTGCAAGTGAACAACTTATTCGACTTCTCGAATATCTTGAATGGTAGATTTTCAACCAAATAATCGTTTTCTTTCATTCGATTTCTATGCATGTTTAGTCCACAATATCTTCGAAAGCAATTCTTTCCTCGACAGAAATTACTCGAATATGCCGGTTTACTCAATCCCTTAGATGCGCCACACCATTTGCGTACGAATGAGTATTGGCTGTATCGGGAAGGTGTAACTTTACCATTGAGACCTGCTGACGGAAAAGGATCATGGGTTGATGTAGGTCTCTACGAAACCAAAGTACAGATTGATAAACGTTTGCAACAAGGTCTCCGTGTTACAGTTCGACGAACTGATATCACACCGGAAGAATACTTTCAAACAAAAGAGCTTTCAAGTAAATTTCAATCGAGTTCGAAGACATAAAAAGCTTTTCTCATTTGCTTTGTTCTTTTAGATGATACTCAACAGACAAATAAGAAAAAACGAATTCCAGGTGAAATTGTCAGTCCGAGTACACCTCGTCTGGAGTCCGGTGAGATTATCTGAATAAGTGAATCTTAAAACGACGGAATTTTCATGTAGCTTTCTACTGGGGTTATCAAGTACGGAAAGCTGAAACAATTCGAACAGTTGTTGAAGATTGTCCATTTGATGATGGTGATAATCACCCAGCGAAGTATGATCTCGTTATTGGGACATCTGAGCGTGGTACATCATACGATAAAATTACTGAATTTCCTCGTTTTCGACATGCTTTGATCGTGTTTGGTGGTCTGCAAGGTCTTGAGAAAGCATTTGCACAAGAAGAAGATTCTATGACAGCTGAGCAGCTATTTCATTTCTATCTCAATACCTGTCCACAACAAGGAAGTCGTACAATACGTACAGAAGAAGCTATCCTCATTACTCTTTCTTGTTTGAGAGACAAATTACTTTCAGCAGTTATCAATTGATACGCTTTGTTTTCTTTTGTTTTGTTTTGAATGATAAAAAGAAATAAAAACAGAAAAATTTCACTAGAAATTCAGTCGCGCGTTCGTTTATTACGAACTTAAACAATTTAGTAGATTTTAGTCATATCAAGTCACATTTTTGATTATCTATGATTGAATTAATCGTCGGATATTCGATTATGAAATTGATATAACTCAATTTTGAGTTCTATTTTCGACGTTTTTTTACTCGTTGAAAACACGAATTCATTCATTGTCAGTCGATGAATCAATTATCATTATGTCTTATCAAGACAAACCTCGGAAAATCGAATCAACAAATAAATATTTATCATAATAAATGCCCACACTATAAACAAGCAGATCATATTATGATATTTAGCATATGACTTCAATTTCCTTCTAATTTCAATTGGTTAGTCTAAGAGTTCTATCTATTTTCTCTTCTTCGTGTTCTCCAGGGTGCAGGAACATTTCTCTTCCTTTCGTTCTAACATTTTTTTTCTCTTGCGATGCTTAAACATGCAATGCTATACAGAGTCTCCTCAATTGCTTTTCCTTTCTTATCTACGAGAAAAAGAAAATAGAAGAGATCGCTCAATAGTTCACAATAGAACAGTCTTATGACCTATTCAGAAGAACTGATTGACTGAACGCAATGAATAAGTAGAAGTACTCGTCAGACAAAAGAATATCCGAAATAAAATCCTAATTATTCATTATTTTTAACGATAATTGTATTATTTCAGATATCATTATGCCAAACTCATTACTTGATATTATAAAGAGCTGTAGCTCAAATTCACAACAAGCTGGTAGTCAACCAACATCACGTGAAATCAACATTCCTGGCCTTTGTTCAGAAGCGTTAGCAGCATGGGGTGTAGAACATCCAGCGGATTTAAGTTATCGTGTTGAGTTAGCTCGACGTATTGCATTAGCATTTGATGATAGCGACCAAATCATCATTCTCGACGATGTAGCGCTCGTTGTACCCGAATCCGAACGAGCTGTTTTTCTTGGTATGCGTGGTTGTGATCGATCATTGTTACCTGCACTTTGGTTATCCACTGGTTTTCGACGAGGCGGCCGACTTATTGTCTATTCACCACCGAATTCAGTCGAATTGGCAAATTATTTCGCATTGAAGAAAAATATTGAAGGACGTTTACAACGTTCGATTCAAATTCAAATATTCTACGAAGACTCCGGCGGACAACTTTTTGAACTTTTAAGTATTTTCGAAACGAACCCGAGTAAATACACGGAAATTTGCGAACGATTTGCCCAACGATCACCTGCAGATTTCCATCCGGAATATCATATACGAATGTTCAAACGACATATCGACGAAATTCTTGGCGATGCTAGTCGATCGTTTTTATTTCCATACGAAATGACAGAATTTCATCAACAAGAACTTCAACCTTACTCCGATCGACTAAAATTACCTGATTTACCTACAAATGATAAAGCGAAGCATAATTTTTTCTTACGTTCGCAAGCATTTACTGCCCTACCGAAACTACTAGCTGTCTCGCCCGATGGAACTATTATTGACAATTACCAACAGTACATAGAAACATTAGAACATCTCGATCCTATCCACACAGAAAACACTCCACAAAACATTCAGGTAAAAAACAACAACAATGAAAAATCTATTTTTCAAACGATGGAATGATTCTTTTAGGTTTTCTCACAAGCTGTTATTCGAGCTATCGACCAGTTGAATGACAAGTATAGCATTTCCGCATTCGTCAAACTGGACGCTAGTGGCGCAGCTGGCTGGTCTTGTATGAGTCCAAGTGAACACGCTTTGATCTATAATTGCGGCGAAGATGAAACGAAACGCACTGATTATTTACGTGAATATATCGAGAACAGAGTTTTAGGCGAACGATTACCAGTTCTGGCCGTTATCGAGGAATTTATCGAACCACAAAAACGATCTGGTGATATTGATGCTGATTATACCGTTTGCGGATTTGTCCTAGGTGGTAAACTTTTCCCTACATCAATAAATCTATGCGGAACAGAAAATGGATGTTATATTGAACAAGTAAAAGTAAAATGATATTCTGATGAAACGTTTCATCTTTCATTTCTAGTGGACATCATGCTCGCCAGCTGATTTGAGCGACTCGTCTATATACTGGCAACGAATGTTTCAAACTTATTCGACGATGGTTGCTTTCGAAGCATCTGAGTTCGGATATACCAATGGTATCTATGCCGGCGACTTATTTGTCACTAAAGATGGTCGTCATAAACAACGTGACTGGAATATTCGACGTGGTGGACGATCCTCGCCGGAGTCTTTAGTTATTTTCGGTATACCAAATTATGAAACCAAAGTCACATTGTCCATGTTTGATTTTGGTTTGAATGGAAAGTTGAATAACACGGAATTATTTCATTTATACACGGATATTTGTCAATATTTATCGAATACCTACGGCATCTACATATTTTCGAGTGGACTAGGATATTGTAGTAAAGATGATCAAGAAAATGATTACCTCAAGTTTAACATACTTATTCATCCAAAATTGTTGACGCACATAGATCAAAATGGGCAGAAACAGAAGCTACCAAGAAGTGAACATCGAAACAAAGTGACTGAAATGATTCGAGATGCGACCACACATATTTTGAAAAAGAAATCTCTCATCTAACTTTAAAAGTATCATGATCTATTGTCAAAGATCTTTTTTCACAGGTTTCTATTGTCATTTACATAAGAGACAGCAAAATAAATGTATCAGCGAACTTCTGTTTTTTGGAGATACTTCATGTCCTAATCAACATATTTGTTTATGCCCTGGACATTTTGCGGGTGCATCTGAGTGCACATGGAGAGGTGATATTTTGACGAAAGAAAGAAATGTACTCGAACGACAAACATAGTCAAGTCTGTTTTTGGTTATTTTTACGTCGGAGAGTTCACATTTCGTTGTATTTGAATCAACGAAGCGTTGAATGACGTTTTTGCTCTCGAGTCGTACTTTTTACATTACTACGCGTCATTATAATTTGTTTGACATTCACTCGAACTTTCTCAATAGACAATGAACATGAATATAGGTAGTTGTCTTTGATCGAGAAAGAAACAAAGAGAGAGAGAGGCAATCGACATTTTGATATCTATAATCGATGAAAGCAGCGTCGCTTGGTCATCAATATTTAAATGTTCAATCGTTCAACGAAACTGAAAACTTTTTCAGTGCTGGACGATTTCGTGCCGGTCGAAGATACCAACGAGCGCGATCCAAAGCGCAAATCTATGATACTCCGAAAGAACCGTCGCTATCTGCCTCAGATCCGCTTTCACGACGATCTATTCCAAGTATCGAACAATCTAAAGCGTCCTATGGGCGAAGTTATAGTGCATCGAATAATCTCTTTGTCGTCTATGAACAGCAGCAACAAAAGCCGATATCTAGAATCCAATCTCAACATTCCGATGGAGGTAAGCGGTATTGAATGAAGTATCAAGATTTTCTTAATTCTCTGTTTTTAGATCATAAACCATATTCGCTGAGAGCACTTATCACTAAACGACACGGTGAGTGTTTCATATGTGTGTGACGATCATGAGTCATGCACTGGTTAATTTGATTTTATTGCAGGAAATCAGGACGAAGATGATAAATTAAGCAGTCGTGTGCGGCGTTTTTATAAAAAACAAGATCATTTGATTGATTCATTACAAAAGTTTCATGAACGAACGTTGCTTGACTCTAAAAAAGAAGATAACAAGTTGAAGAAACAAAAACGCCATACTGAATGGCTTATTCGAGCAACATTAATATGTAATATCGTATGTCGATTTATCCAAATTGAACGAATAATTTCACTTCAAATCTCTTTTCTCCTATTTTCAGTTATTACTCGTTTCTAAAATTGTTGCCGCTATTTTCTCTCGATCTCTTTCGATTATTTCTTCGGTAGTTGACTCAGCAGTTGATTCCGCATCAGCATGTGTACTCTATTGGGTCGTCCGAGCTATCAAAAGACGTGATCCTTACACATACCCAGGAGGTAAAAACTGTCATTCCATTTGTTTTCCTGCAAAACTGGAAATGAATTCATCATCCTTACATATTTTAGGACGAACTCGATTAGAACCAGTTATCATTGTCATTTTGTCTGTGGTAATGGTTTCGGCATCCGTTCAGGTCATTTATGAATCTGTGGAATCATTGAGCAATGATGTGCATCATTTTACAACGAATCAAACTGAATTGCGTGATATCGATATGGGACCAGCACCTATCACTGTCATGTGTATAACTATTGGTATGTAGAATAAATAATTAAATACTGCTTAGCACCACGAGCTTATTTTAGTTACTAAGGCTGTTCTCTCATTTTTGTGCTATCAAGTAGCTAATCCAACAATGTATGCGGTAGCACAAGATCATCGCAATGATGTATTTTCGAATTTCGTTGCCCTTGCATGCGGTATTATAGGTAAAAGCAAGATTTGATTTGATTTGGTTTTGGTCGTCATATCGATGTTTTCTTATAGCGGCCAAGGCACTTGATGGTTCGATCAAAGATCCAGAAGTAGTTGTCATTGATCCCATCGGTGCAATTATCATATCTCTATACATTATCTTTTGTTGGTTGAAACAACTTCGTGAACAAGTTCGAAATCTAAGTGGTTACAAAGCAAAGCCTGAATTTCTACAAAAGATCACCTGGTTGACTTTACAACATTCTCCTCTAATCCAGAAAATAGATACAGTTCGAGCATTTCATTTTGGCACGTCATTTCTGGTTGAAGTAGAAGTTATTCTTCCAGAAACTATGTCACTTAAAGAAGCACATGATATTGGTGATGGCTTACAAACTAAATTGGAAAGCATACCTGAAGTCGAAAGGGCATTTGTTCATTTGGACTATGTTGTCGAAGCATTGGAATACTAATTAAAACGAAAAAAAACGACAACAAAGTTTCTCTATATCCTTCTTTGCAAATAATAAAAATTTATTCAAGCTGAATGAGACAATTATTGTATCATTTCTGAACTTCTTTCGTAGAGCACTGTTCTATTACTAGTCGGTGTGAATTGGCTACTTCAGTGGATATTGATAAGATCTTATGATCGATCCGACGTGGTCTAGTGGTTAGGATTTCTGCCTTTCACGCAGGAGGCCCGGGTTCGATTCCCGGCGTCGGAATCTCGTTTTTTTGTCTTCAGGTACGAAATGATGGCCGAGCATTTTCGTCAAGTATGTATATGTTGACGAAATTTAAAGTTTTCTTTCGTTCTACTGAGATCTTATCAAAGAATGTTTGTAACGAAAGCATGTAAATGACAGTCCGACGTGGTCTAGTGGTTAGGATTTCTGCCTTTCACGCAGGAGGCCCGGGTTCGATTCCCGGCGTCGGAATGTCTCTTTTTCTCTATCAGAAAATTCTTTTTAACTGACGGTACAATTGAATATGATGTATTATGTAGCGGAAAGTAGAACAGACTACTCACACTTTCTTCATGCATTCAGTACAAACACCATGTGTTTCTCTTTTTGATTAAACAGCAAAACTACCTGAATCTAATAACATGGGCGAGTAGATTGATAAGCACGTTCCACTTGAGTAGATCGGACAATATAAACAAAATAAACATTCATGTGACCTTGAGCGGCCCCTGTACTTCATAGTGTGTTTATTTGATACTATTACGAATCAAAGTAACAGATCAAGTAGCTATGTATAATAATTTCTCAACATCGTTACCGCCTTCTTACGAGTCGATTCCGCCAAACTATTATCAACAACAGCCGATCTATACTAATCAGTATGCACAACCATCGTACGTTGACAATTCATATATGAGTCAACCACCTCCGCAGCCAATATATCAAGGATTACCTCAGCAACCATCGACTTATGCAGTACCTGCTCAATCTCCACCTACGTATGCACCTGCAGCTCAACCACCGCCCTACACAGCACCTGTGATACAGCAACAACCAACAAATAATAATCTAAGTAACTGCCTATTTCGTTTTCTTTGCGAGTAGTCATCAATTCACTTCTTTAGATTCACCTGTAAAAAGTTCTGCACCTCCTGGTACACCATTTTCTGCAGGTTACAAATGGCCACGTAAGACAATTCAAATTGTTTGCCCACAATGCGGAGCAACAGTAACAACGCGTGTCGAAACGTCAATCACGGTTATAACTATTATCGGAGCAATAATACTGTTTTTATTGACTTGTATATTAGTTTGTTTACCATTCTGTGCTCGCACTTGCAAAAGAACAACTCACTATTGCCCCTATTGTAACAGCGTTCTAGGTGTACGAAAACCACTTCAATAAATAACAAATCATTTCGTTAAATTTATCACATTCTGATGTTTTTTTTTGTTCAAATTTTTACAAAAAAATTTAATACGTGTTCTGGAATGAGTAGGTTTTTAAGTGTAAAACAATATGTATATATATATAAAGAACCTTACTGCCCTCGAATTCAAAAAAGATCAATTATCAAAGTCATCAACATTGATTCGCATTGTGTTTTGTGGTGATCTTCGACGTCCACTACTTCCACTTTGTTGATTACGATCATTGTCCGCTCGATTTCGTTCACGATTCATCCTTTTCTGTTCTTTATCTTGTTCAACATCTTGCCGTTTCATTTTGTCGTATGCGGTATCAAAATCCTCACTTGTCGAACGATCACCTTCTAAGACACCGATAACTGTCATGTCAGCCAATTTATATGGTTCAAGTCTGAGATTAACATTAGGTGTCTTGGTTTTCTTTGGTGTTGCCAAGGGGTCGATCACTATCCATTGTCCACGTTCCGGGACATAACGTGCGAAAGTTATTCTGCTGATATCTTTGTTCATTATTGATTTCAATGTTGATAATAGGTGTTGCTCAACATATTCATATTTTACGATATTATTGTCTTTTAATGGTAAGAGAAGTTCGAACCGTTGTTGAAAATAATTATTAACATTATCTTTCGAATGTACAACGTTAAGAAGGATATCCTTTTTGCCCAAATGTTCAGGATGAGATAAAATTTCAAAAGCATAACAACACAAATCGCGTACTTTAGCTTGTCTAGAGAAAAAGAGAATGCAGTCATCTCAGAATATGATNCTTCCTACAACGAGCGAATGAACGAACGAACGAACGAATGATGCATGAGTAGCAGAGATGCGAAATGACTTACAGCGATCTCACGCATCTTGCCGAGAACCATGGCTGAGATTTCTTCGGGCGTGAAAAGCTTTTGTTCCTTGCCAGTACTGATTTGGATGATTGGTTTTGAGTTCTTTTCGATGACTTTGAATGGAAAGTGTTTGATGTCTTGTTGAACACTTGGTTCATTGAAGTCACGACCGATGAGACGTTTGGCATCGAAAACAGTGTCTAGAAGGAGAGAAATCGAAATAGACGAGAGGAAAAGTAGAGATAGATGAAGAACTTACTTTCAGGATTCGAAGTGAGCTGATTTTTGGCAGCATCCCCAATGAGACGTTCACCTTCGGGAGTGAATGCAACATAGGATGGTGTGATACGGTTACCTTGATCATTGGCAATAATTTCTACTCGTCCGTTTTTGAAAATACCAACGCATGAGTAGGTTGTGCCGAGATCGATACCAATGACAGTACCAACGTCTATTAGGCAAAAGAAATTGATAGGTTAGCTGTTACAGAACGAAATTGTGGTTTACCTTTCTTGTCTTCTTCGGCGGCGAATGAAAATGTAAAAGCAATAGTGGCGATGAGTAGAAGAATAGTGATTATCTTCATGTTTGCTAGTAGTCTGATTTCTCTAATGAATGATAGAGTTGCAGAAGGAGAGTCGTATTTATTTGAAATGAAGAATGGTATAGTAGTACATACGTGTTTTTACTCTGTGGTGATGAGTGAATATGCTGTCTGCATTTGATTGGTCCAGCGAGAAACTTTTCGGTGACGTCGATTGTGCGTGTAAGCAATGAAAAGAATACCCAAAGAAAACGAAAGTAAATATGAAAAAATGGAGTAAAATATGATTCCGTTTGCTTCCTTGACAAAGAAAATATTTTTCGTTATCAAAACTGAAAAAAAACGGCATGGATCGCATAATAAACGAGCGACATCTTTACGAAATTTCATGAAAATGCTCGAAAATTCGATGAAGTCGACTAGGACTAGATGGAAATTAGCACCAGCAGATAATTATTCGAACGGATTCAGCATGATCGAAGTATCTAATTATAATTGTTCGATTGAATGCACTAATCAAAAACATTGAAACATTGATGATTTTTTGCTTGATAGTAATACACGAAATTTTCACATTAGACCGCTTCCAGAGATCATCAAAGCGGATTATCATATTTGGACTAGTATCTTCTTGTTCGAAAATAGTATCAGCTATGACTATGTTCATGAAAATTCGATTTGCAGCTTTGAGAAAACGAAAACGAAGAAAAAAGCAGACAGAATTCGAATGAATCCCATACTTCTTTCTAGATTATTCATCATGTCTCGAGTAATTGTTAAAAACCTACCAAAACAAGTATGTTTTATCTGATGTAGACACATATATCTCTGAGAAGAATACGTTTCTATTTAGGTAAAAGAAGATCAAGTTCGCAAACATTTCGAAGCATTTGGACCTATAACAGATCTTCAACTAAAATATACCAAAGATGGTATATTCCGTCGCTTTGCCTTTGTCGGTTATCTGAATGACGAACAAGCACAACGAGCGATCGACAAATTGAATAAAACATACATTGGAACATCGAAGATCGTCGTCGAGCAGTGTTTCGATTTAAACGATAGCAATCGACCTCGGCCATGGAGTAAGTATTCTCAACAAACAAATGAACCAGAAAAGAAGCCTGCCGATGAAAAGAAAGTCAAAACGAAAAAAGAAGGAGATAGTCAGCTAGTTGATGCCATCCTCGGTGATCTTAAATATGACGACAAATTCAAAGAATTCGTCAAAAACGTGGATTCAATGAAGAAAAGTGAACAAATAATTTGGAATGATTCAATGAAAAACACAGAAGACGAACCGAAACAATCATCAAAATCGAGAGAAAAACAAGAAACTCGTGCACCGTCGCCTATAAAAGAAAACAAACCACTCGCTCCTCGTTATTTCATCAAAATTCTCGGACTACCCTATTCCTCAAAAGAACGCGATATTCGCCAATTTTTCGCTCCTCTGTCCATCATCCACTGCCGTATGATTCACAATCGTAAGACAAACGCCCTTTCGGGAGTTTGTTGGATCGAGTTTGAAAACGAACATGATATGAATAAAGCGATGCTCAAGCAGAAGTCCGTTTTGACCATTGAGAAGACCGGTGAACATCGTTATTTAGAATTAGCACCGTACATCAAGAACAAACAATTACTAAATAAATCAGCAACAACTGCAATGAAACCATTGAAAACATACGAACCTATTCCGGAGTCCATCGGTGAAACAGGAGAATTATTTGTGAGAAATCTTTCCTACCGAACTGCAGAGCAAGATTTAGAGACACTCTTCGGTCCATTTGGACAAATTACATCTATTAATATGCCAATCGATAGTCTCACAAAACAACCAAAAGGTTTTGCTCATGTGACATTCATGTTTCCTGAACACGCGCTACGGGCTTTCAATGAACTTGATGGACATGCTTTTCAAGGACGGTTATTGCATATTCTTCCAGGAAAAACACAACAACAACAATCTCAACCAGATTCATCCGAGTCGAATAACCATCAGGTGTGGTCTGGAAAACTTTCTCGAAGATTACATTTTAGGTTGAATTTGTTTTCTAGACACCAGCTTCTATCGCCACATCATCTGAACAAAATTGGAATACACTTTTTCTCTCGACCAATGTAATTGCTGAAATCATGGCTGAACGATATGGCCTCGACAAATCCTCGGTTGCTAGTTCAACAAAAAAGAACGACAGTCTTGCTGTGCGATTAGCCGTAGGAGAAACTCAGATCATACATGAAACTCGACAGTTTCTAATCGATAATGGCGTTCAATTAGACTCATTTAGTCAAGCATTATCTACTGCCAAACGCAGTAAAACAGTTATTTTAGCAAAAAATCTGCCAATCAAAACGCATGATCAAGATTTGAGAATCTTATTTGAAAAATATGGCAAATTACAACGAATTATACTACCGCCGTATGGCCATTGTGCATTAATCGTATTTGAATATCCACAGGAAGCACGACAAGCCTTTAAGCAGCTGTCCTATCGCAAATTTAAAGACAATAAACCATTATATTTAGAATGGGCTCCAGGCAACGTGCTCTCAACTCACATCAAAACAGAAGCTAAATCAGTAAGTTTGACCTCTGTAGAAAGAAGAAGAAGATCCGTTCTCATCATATATGCGTCCATTATAACGGAAAATATGGCAGACAAAACCTTCTATTCAGTTCTATTCTGTATAGAAGCCTAATCCTAATAGAAGATTCTCGCGTAAGGATAGCAAGCGAACATTTCCTATTCATCAGTAAATTAATGTGAAAGTTTTTATGAAAATATAACATTTATTATTATTTATTCATGAAGGAAAATGTCAAACTGAGTACATAGTTCTCACGAGACGTGTATAGATTTTTTCCATGTCAAGTAATGACTTTTTGCATCTCGTTCACGTTTCATTTAATAACGGCTGTCTTCTTGTATCTTTCGGAAACATGCGTGTGGATTAATCTTGTCTAATTTATTTGAGTTCTCATCCATTCTTAATTGATCTTTATAAATAAATCTTTTTTTAGACTGACTCAACCGTTGAAGAACAAGTTCAACCAACAAACATGATCGAAGAGGAAAAGCTAGATCAAAAACAGGAAGTAGCCGAAGAAGACGAGGAAACTTTCACGTTATTCGTTAAAAATTTGAACTTCGACACAACTGATACAGATCTTGAAAACGTAAGAGTTCCCAAATGATGACTTGCAAGAAGACTTTTGTTTGCTTCGTAGCATTTTTCGCTCATTGGTTCGTGTCGAGCGTATGTAGCTAAAAAAAAAGATCCTAAACGGCCCGGCCAATTGTTGTCAATGGGCTATGGCTTTGTTGAATTTCCGTCTTTGAAATTGCTCAACGAAGCGCTCAAACAACTACAACATTCTCAACTTCAAGGACATCAGCTCGAGTTGAAACGATCGGAACGTACGACGAAAGCAACGTAAACGACATCTCTTAGTAGTCAATAAAGATTTGATTAAGTTTTCCTGTTCTACTTTGTAGTCCTGAAGCGAAATCAATGAAACGAAAACGACAGACCGAAAAAGAACAACAGACAAGTAAAATCTTAGTGAAAAATATACCATTCCAAGCAAATCTCAGGGAAATACGCGAATTATTTCGTGTGTTTGGTGAATTGAAATTTGTTCGCATGCCGAAAAAGATCGATGATGAACATCATCGAGGATTTGGCTTTGTTGATTTCGTCAGCAAGAATGATGCCAAAGTAAGGTCAACTTAAAGACGATGGTTATGCAAACTATCAGTCCTTGGCCTTGTTTTAGAATGCATTCGAAGCGTTATGTCATAGTACACATTTGTACGGACGTCGTCTGGTACTCGAATGGGCCGATGAGGAGAACGATACGATCGAAGGACTGCGGAGAAAGACAGCTGCTGAATTCGGTAATGCGCTCAGTTATTTATTTATGTAAAAGAAACATACTGTGCTCTTATCGTAGATCTTAATTCAACTGGTAAACGCGTTAAACGATCCGAGCTACTCGGTGATTTGCGTAAAATGGGTGGCAGTGATCAAACATCGGAAAGAAAAACTACTGAAGATGATAATGATGAATAAAATAAAGAATATTATTTGCGTGTTTTGTTTTGTTTTGTTTTGTTATCGATCATTTATTTGGGTTTTTGTAACCTTCTTTAGATTAATTTAATCATGATCGATCAAATCTTTTTGAACAAGAACCGACAAATGGAAGATCGCCTTACTTCTTTTATTAGCACCATTACTAATGGTATGAATGAATAGTGAGAAACCTGATGGCGATTGAGCTATTTTCCAAACGACCAATTATTTTGCATTGTAATAAGAAATACGAGAGGAAAAGCTGAACGAGAGAAAGAGATGGAGAAATAGCGTCTCTTGTTACATACTAATATAACAAACAAAGTGTTGGAAAGATCGTCTGGATTCTTTTCGGGTGTACTGGCGAGGCGATTGCGCTGTGCTCTTTCGACAGAGACTGAAGAAGTAGGCAGGCGTTATGAAAGAGAGAAATAGAGAAAGTCAGTCCGCTATCGTAAAGAAGGAAAAGAAAAATTCTTCTCTCGATCTTTCTTAAACTTGTTGACGCACGAGAAGAACACATAAAAGAGAAAAAGATGAAGGGAATATAGAAATGTCCTTCGCGTTGTTCTTGACTAAGGCAATGAAAGAAGTACCAACTTCCATATCGTGCTTAAGATTATACTCGTTGTGAAAATTTGCTCATATTCTTATTTTTTTTTCTAGTTTTTTACTCGTTATGGGTACGGGGCAAACAATTATTCTTGTCGATGGTGAAGCTCCACCACGTTTCATACCTTCGACACGTTTTACACTGGGTTTACTTGTCTTTTTTGCTTTCATCGTTCAATATGCTCAACGTGTCAATTTGCCCATTGCGATTGTTTGCATGGTTAACCGTACAAAAGCTGTTGAACATCCACTACTATTCAATGGAACAACATCAGCCATTCCAAATGATTTATCGAGATATTCAAACAAAAATGACCTACTTGATTTGACGTCAACAACACTAAAGCCTATTGTCAAAGCTTTGCACAAGCGAGGCTTTCTCGATGAAAAGAAGTTTAATTGGATTGAATTACAACAGCAAATTCTCTTGGGAGGTTATTGGGCAGGATATATATTCACTCAAATGCCAGGTAATTTTGCTTTTCTCTGCTTATTCAATTAAAGAGCAATAAATCCACGTTTATTAATAAATTAGGTGGATGGTTGGCAACAACGATCGGCGCAAAATGGGTGTATGCCGGTTCTCTATTCACGAGTTCTGTTACTAGTCTTGCTATGACAAGCATGTATTTGATGCCAAGTACACATTTCACGTTAATGTTCACTTTACGCTTCATCATTGGCCTTGCACATGGTGTTCTCTTTCCAGCAACGATTGCACTTTGGTCATTATGGGCTGTTCCACAAGAACGAAGTACTCTTGCGTCGATCGGATTCTG